GAATCTTACCGTCCTTGCATCCTGCAGCAATCTTTCTTCTAACTGATGTCCACTTCGATGAGATGTTGGCGTTTCCCACGGGAGACATCCCATATCTGCAAAGTACCGTTGTCGATACCAGCTGCCAGACAGTCTCGATTTCAGAATAAACTGAAAAAAAGAAATATGCATCGCTGTCGATGTTGGTCCAAGTTTAAAGCTTGTGATGTGTACAGTTCAACCTCGTTTCCATGGATTCGATCTTGATATGCCATGCTGTTATCGTTTTATAAACCCCGGGCCTTGTGTCCCACTATTTGGAATATTTGAATTAGGAACGCAGTCTCGAGAAGCAGTTTTTGTAATATTGAAGGTTTGGGTTTTGAGGGTTTTTTGGGGGGTTTCCTTCTCTTTTTTTTTGGGGGGGGGGGTAGGTGGGGGTACCCAAACCGTTTACGCATTGAGCAATTCGGAAACAAAGTCATGCTCGTACAAGATGTGAAGTGAAGGGGATAACGCGAGAGCGCATGGCGCAATATTTTAATGGTCGAGCGGTCTTCAAAATGCACGCGCATAATAAGCGTTGTTTATGCACTCCTCACGGCCAGTGGTTAGTGAAGGAAAGTGCACGCACCCACGGATTTGAGGCTGGGACAGGTTAGTCCTCAGCCTCGTCCCCATGGTGTCGAGCATTAAGCGCCCCAACTACCTGCTCTCTCATCCTGGTATTGGATCATTTGCATGTGCAAGATGTTTGAACACGAACGCAAATAAGGAAAAGTCTGGTGCCTGCCTGTGCGTTACATTAGCGTTTTGTTTTGTTTTATGCGGTGTATTGGGTAAACCTATAATTACCTATATTTGGCGTCATCAGGCAGCAAATTAAAAGCGATATTCTTTGAAAGAGGACCATTTTCTGTGACCCTAAAGGAGCCGGTTTATTTTGGCCATCTCACAGCCCTTAGATCTCAACAATCTTGTGAAAAAAATTATGAAACTGGGTGCATGCATAGAGCAACTTAACATGAACATACCTAAACAAATTCATGACTATGGGATAAAGGATTTAGAATTATGGCTTATTAATTATTCATATGCAACAATGGTAATAATGCTTTGTGTACACTATATTTATGTGGAAATTCACTTTTCAGCCAATTGTTTGGCTGCGAGGCAACCCATGGTCGGATCTTTATGTTGAGGCAGGAGTGCGGCAGTTCGTCAAAACGCCGGTTTTCTGCCGAATGTAACTCGGCGATTCAAGATGGCGAATCAAGAGAAGAAACGTGATTCCGCAACAAATTCCTTCTGCTAGAGGAAAACCACTGTACTTCAGCAATCCATTCTTTTTTGGCCTTCTTAGGGAGAGTTTTATTTGTTTGCTCGCTAGTTCTGAACTACTTCTCGCTCGAGAAAAACTCACAATATCCAGATATTGTCGGCGTTTAGCAAAAAAATACCGGATGGCTGGATTTGCTGCTCAATGCGCATTCAGAAAAAAAAAATGCGTTTCGCGTATCCAAGGCAACCTTCGAATTCATACTTTCACAAAATAAACATGACTTGGAGCAAAACACTGTGACAGAAGTCCCAATTTCTCCGAGGCATAGGTTGGGGTTTTGTCTGTATAGACTGGCTAGAAGATATTATAATTTCACTGTTGCTGAAATGACTGCTGTAGGTGCGTCTACTCTCCCAGCCATCGATGCAGAAATTTGTGAATCCATCATCAGAAATATGTGGGACATATCAGTCACTCAATTGTTTCCCCCAAATAGGCGTGCTATTTGCATGCCCGTTTTAAAACGGGATCACTGCGTTTCTGAATGGGGACGTGCAATTTAAATTCGACACGGCAGAAATTCGACGTTCAGATTTCTGTCGCTCTTCTGCCGAACTTTAAAACAGGAGTGCGGCGCAGTTGCTGCAAACGTCGAATTTTGCAGTGACAACAGTTTACAACATATATGGCAAGTTACGACGTGTCTTTTGGTCATCGCAAAATACGATGCATCCAGTTTTATGCCATTACCATTAAATAAACAACACAATAATACCGATACATTGTGTGTGAAATTGCAAATTGACTATGAATTGAATTAAATATGAATTTATACGAGTAAAGTGCAGTGGAAAACTCTAAGTCCTTCAAACGTATCTGATCTCTAATTTGAGAAGAGCAAAACTAGGAACTATAAACGATTTACGATTTAAAATCACTCTCATCTCAGATTAAAATATAAGCCTATAACCTGAAGTGACAACTCGATCTACACGATTGAAAGCCATTCAGTCTTAATTATATTGTCACTGTCATTTTAATGGTTGTATTACATGTTCCCTGGTATATAGGCTAGTGGTTTGGGTTTTCACTCTTTGCAAATAAAAGAGTAGGCTTACACTACGGCAGTATCCACATGTATTTCCTTTAATAACCACCTAGTTGACATACCACTCAAATTTGCTAGCTGTTGATACTATTGTTCAACTATTAGTGCAGGGCTGAGGAGTGTGGAGGGTAAATGGCGTCCAGTGTTATAAACCAGGGCTTGTTATATCGTCACCGACACCACGAAGTGACCTTAAGCCCTGCGAAGTGGAAAATGTGTGTTTTGAGATACAAGCGATTTAAGTTGGCGATGTTTTGAAACGGTGATCTGAACATCGTTTTAGCCTCAAAATACATATATTTATACATTGTCTGAAAGCTGGGATCTTGAATATCACGTTAATGTATGATTTCCATTGAAATAAATTACTATTAATGAGTTATTAAACTAATTAACTATAACGTCACTTCGTGAAAACTCAAAATTCAGATTACACTGTGTTCGAGTTTTCACGAAGTGACACTAACAACGTGTATTAGCTAATGGGTTAGCGCTACTTCGTGAAAACGCCAGAAGTGAGGCGCGCGTATCACGTGACATTTGTGTCACTTCGTAAAAACGCAAAACCCGTTTTTGACGCGTAGTGTGCAGGCACTTTACACGCGAAAGAATGGTATAGTACACTTCGTGAAAACGCATATTCCGGTTTTGACCCATTAAGTTGCAAATGTTAATTAATGTTAATTAATGTTTTGACAAAACTAATTAACTTTGTGCTTAGTAACTTCTTGAGGTGATAGATTATGTGTAATTAATCACAAATCCGGAAAAAAAAATCGAAATTGCAAAATATCGATTTTTCGAGGTTAGTGTCACTTCGTGGTGACGGTGACGATATGTTGCAATATTGAGATGCTCGTATTCCCACAATCAGCCTTCTTACTGCATATCTTCATTGACCTTTCATCCTTACGTCAAGATGCACGCGCGTAGATAACAAATTACAGATATTTGCCCGTTTGCATATTAACAGCAAACAACAGGCTGGTCAGGTTGAAAAAAAAAACATTAAAAACACTCAGGATTTCAACTTTGTCGCTGGCGGTGAAACACGCTGCTTCAAGTAAGAGCGGTACAATCGGTATCCAGCCTCGAAATCAATTATTAAACCAAGTGAGTACATAAAAAGGGTAACCACAGAAAATACATACACAAAAAAAGACACATAACCTTGTGTGAATCAAATTACAGAAATGTTCTCCATCTATTTTGTTTGACACCTAAGGACTGAGTAAACTTGGGACCGAGTTGACCTCGACCGAGTTGGTTTCGAGTCAACTCGGTCCCAATCCATGTCAGTTCAACTCATTACAAAGTCAACTCGGTACCTGGTTAACTCGGTCTCAGGTCCACTTGGTCCCAAGTCAACTCGGTTCCACATCAACTTGCTAGGGGAAAAATGCTCTAGCAAGGCACTAGGAGCGAACATCAAACTGCGTCATGTTAGGGGCCGTGCCATGTTAGGGGTACATCAACAATACGCCATGCCGAGGTTACGCGTTCCACACAAACCTGGCCTGATAATTTTAAGTGTTTAATTGAATATCAATTATACCCCTTTTTAATGCAATATAAGCTTTACACGAAGCTGTTAATACAAATGATATTGAAAGCAGAAATACAACGGCCCAACACTAGCATCAAAAGTACAAACGTGGATAATTTTTGCATAACGTTTTCCTAGCAGCAAATTATAACCATTTAAAGATATCTGCGTATATACGGCTAATTTCCAGTACATAATTGTTACATAGTTCCAAAATAAGATATAACCTGCCACCAAATTCAAACAAACATTTCCGATTCCTCTTGTCGTGAAACATTTTCAAAAATATACAATAAACTTCATTTTCAAAAATTTACAATAAACTCTGCCGTTAAAAGCAGGCTTATACCAGTCAAGTAATATATGGTAAACATGAAATATGCAAGTTCCATGTAATTAAATTTAGATTTTTACTTCTTTTTCTTTCACCCTTTCAAACGAGCACTGAGGAGATTCAATGCTACGTTTCTCCCTATTTAGCAACAATGTAATCAAAATGAATGAAATATGTCGAAACTACAGATTCAGTAGATATAGGTATTTGAGAAACATTGTATCTTCATTTTTACCACGACACATAGCGAAATCTTGTTGAAATCTCCTCCTTCCAATTTTTTTTCTATACTTTTTGGCTTCCAACCTCTTGGTATTTGGTTTGACAATTGAGAAAAGAATTCACATTTGCAGATATGTAACCAATTGCAAACTAAACTAAAGTTGGTAAGTAGGGAGCAGAATATAAAGGGAAACAATAATTTTGTTCGCGGCGGTTTTGAATTCAGCATTTCGAGAAAATGACGACAATTCCTTAAAACATCAGTAGGCGCAAGGATTTCACAAGAGCACTGATCCCTGTATTTACATACATTAAATGATATATCATGTCGGTTAAATGTTTGCAATTGCTGTCAAATACCTTTAAAAAAAAACGGAACGGAACAATGACTAATAGCGAGCTCAATTTAAAAAAATATCGATATGGATTGCAAAATAAACCATGCGTTTTTACGCGCTTAAAAATGTTGAAAGATCTGCTGCAGCCATGGTTTACATTCTCTTCAGCTTCGATGTTTACTGTTTTTTTGTTAGTTGTCATCAAACTCTGGGCGAATCATCATGTGCATGTATTCCTCAGTCTTCGGTAGCATATGCATGTACGTCTACAGAGAGAGAATACGTTCACCATAATATGTGTTGAAATCAATGTCTTATTTTGGACCTTGCGAAAATGTGATATACACAGGCCCCCACCTACCCCCCCCCCCCACCAAAAAAAAAAAAAAAAAAAAAAAAAAAAACATAAAACATACTTATACGGGAAATGGGTCATTTGGGAGACATTCCCATAGACTTGTGCACCACATTTTTTTTTGAAATTTCATTGTGCCCTAACCCAATTCCCTTGTCCCTTTTCACGATTTTCAATATATTTACTAAATAGACCACAAGCCACCAATTTAATCTAACTGCGACAGCAAAATTTTGCCTCTGAAGGGGGGCTGTGACATAAGAGAGACATACACATGTCTCCCTAATGACAAATGTCTCCCATCGTGCCAAGAAATTACGAAAACGTGCCTCCTTAATGGTACCTTTACACGTATACCGGTAATAATAATGACAATGATAATAACAACAACAATGCACACCAAATTTTACAATCAAGTACACCTTTCAATAAAAAAAGTGAAGTGAGCCTATGAATGATAATGGTTCAGACATATGCATGTCCAGTCTACTGCTTTCACTATTCGACACTCACTTGCTCATTTGGGTTGTCAACCATACTTGTCAGACGAGTCACTAGTTGATTGAAACTAGGCCGTTTGGCCGGGTCTACCTGCCAGCACATCAACATCAGGTTGTAGCTGCAAAACAACATGTTTGTTTGTCATTTACAAACGACAGTGTAGCTACCACACAGAGTAGTTTTGTATTTTGAATTGTTTACAAACGACATTATAGCTACTTCACACATTAAAATTAAATTTTAATTGTAACAAAAATGATGTGAGAGTGACGTGAACTTTGTTTAGGAACTATAGGACAGGAACTATATGACCTAACCACATACTGACAGAAAACAAGGTAAGCTCAATATCAGTTTCAAACAAGTGAACTAGTTAAGTTAAGTTGAGATGATACCAAAACAAATAAGTATTGATGCATGGACTATTAGATATGAAAGCATGTGTATATGTTTAAACCTAATAATGAACACATCTTACATTTCATCATCACAGTTGCTTGGTTTGGCCATCCGATATCCAATCTCCAACCTCGACATCAGGTCCTTAGTTTTTATGTTTTCATAAGGAGTGGCACCTTGAAGGAACATTATTCAACGAAACAAATAATAGTGAGAGAGCATGTAGGCCTACAGCCCAATACTGCGTGACTTATTAACTGAGAAATATTGCCTTTTGGGAGTACACATAACACGGGAGATTCTTCCTTCATTAACAACGCCATACATTACCTAGGGTCGCAATTTCCCAGAGAAGGATTCCAAAGGACCATCTGAAAGATGAAATGATAATAATAAACGTCATGATGTGTGACTTGTTTGAAGTAAATGAAATTGTTTGCAGAGTCGTAGCAAGGTCATTCTTAGCAGGGAGGGGGTACCATGAACACATTGCACTCGGCTTATCCGTGCGGATGATAGTGTACCCTATTTAACGATAGGTAGCGTTTTCATGTTAGCACAATTACCGAAGTTTGCGCAACGTTTTAAAACGGATTACGTTTCGATAGTGCGAAGTACCAGTGGTCCGAAGTACCATTGGTCCGAAGTCCCATTGGTCCGACGTCCCATTGGTCCGACGTCCCATTGGTCCGACGTCCCATTGGTCCGAAGTCCCATCGGTCCGAAGTCCCATTGGTCCTACGAAACATAATACTGTGTAGTTCCACTGGTTCAGGTTAACTGACCCCAACCCTAACCATAATCCTATGGGGCGTCGGACCAATGGGACGTCGGACCAATAGGACGTTTGCACCAATGGGATGTATACAGCAATGGGCCGTCAGACCAATGGATGTATACAGCAATGGGCCGTCGGACCGATTGGACTTCGGACTATAGAGACGTCCCCTCAATAAGGGGCACTCGTTAAAAAGGGATACGATCTTACTTACACGTCACTCTTGGATGAGTAGGCATTATAAGTCAACGACTCCAGCGACAGCCAGCGAGTAGGAACACGAGTCTACGAAGAAAATATAAAGTATACTTTCGCTTGAGAACAAAAGACCAGGTCAAACTTGAAAGCATTATTTCAACAGTCTCGAAAGCTGCTGTAAATGATAACTGCTTAGATACAGACCAATAAATATATTCTCTTTCGAAAAGCAAAAGCAAAGCAACAACTATTGTGGAATTTCTTTTACCTGTGATGTCTGCACGTAAATATCTTCCCCTCGCGATAAACCAAAATCAGAAACCTTGGCAACCAGTTGATTGTCAAGGAGGATGTTTCTTGCCGCCAAATCACGATGAATTACCTGCGACAACCAAAACATGTTTTAATAATAAAAGGTTGTACAGACACTGTCTCAGTTAAAAAAAAAAAAAACATGTTGATGGTATTCATTTTGCAGTATTTGAGTATAATTATTAACATTTATCGACTTTTCCCTGTGGCATGGTTTGGATTCCCAAAAATGCCAAATTCATTTGATTTCCATTTGATTTTCCCATGATATACGGGTTAAACCATTTCATGTCTAAAACTAAAATTTCTGCGTCTTCAGTTATGCCTTTTCGCTGATTGCCTGCCATGCCTGATTACTTTTGAGGGATACTTGGTTTCGTTTATACCAACAATCATTATTCCACAAAGAACAATATACCAATACTAACTCTCAATGCAGCAAGGTGTTGCATTCCTTTGGCAACATCCAAAGCAAACTGAATTAGTTTCTCAGAAGACAGAGTTGACTGTTCATCGTCATCCTGGGATCGAGCGTTTCTCAGGTAGGTGCGCAGATCACCGTTGGGCATGAACTCCAAGGCCACGTACAAAATGTCTGGTGAATCAGGAATGTTTTATCTTGATTAATGTACTCGAGGTTTGTATGTCTGTGACGGGTTCGGGCAAGACTTTTGAGAAAGTTGGAAAGGTTCAAAACTATCATTAACGGCCAGTGTTGTATTGAAAATTACCGTGTGTATTGTCTTTTAAAACTGAACATTGTGACATGCAATCATGTGTTCCCCAAGAGAGTTTGTCAGACGGAATAATTTGACTCGGGGAATGGTACCATTACCATATTCTAACCAAGTAACATTTCGTTTTAAATTTATCATTTAACATACTTGGCACATTAACACTCACATTTTAAACTACCAATTTCACTTACCATCATGTTGACAAGCACCAAGAATACTGACCACGTTCGGGTGCCGTCCAATTTTGGTCAGAGTTCTGAATTCCTCCATGAAATTCTGTCGATCGTTATTCGACTCGGAAGCTGTGAAAAATGTAAAAAATAAACAAAACTTTAGCAATAAAAGTAACTGACAGATTAGGCTCCTAGTCAGTATTGTTTGAGATATCGAAAGATGTACACTCCACGTACCCTTCAGTGTCTTTATAGCAGCCTTGAAAACTTCTCCTTCAACCTTCACTGCTCCGTCACGAACTTCACCGAAATTTCCCTTTCCCAAAACCTTTTCGCCGATCATCATATTTCTAAATGGGATGTTCCAGCTCTGGGCCCAAGACGGCAGACCTACATCCTCACAGGTTGGTGATGACATATTTACTGCAACTACTTCCAATGATGATGTGCAATCACGAGCAACGTTGTCATAGTCTGATACCTCATGTGGAGATATCCGACTCTCATAGTCCGATACCCCGTCTTGAGATATCTGATTATCAAAACTGATCTATGAAAAGCAAACATGAAATACATCGACAACGCATTTAAGGGGCCGGGTTATCTCTCAGCGCAGGGGGAGGGGGGGGGGGGGTTACCCCCTTTAGATCTCGGCCATCGATGACGAACAACTTTAAAACTCGGTACATGCAGAGAGCAATTCTTCATGAACATACCAAGAAATTTCATGACTAAAGGTCAAAGGGTTTTAGGAATTATGGCTCATTATTTATTCATATGTATGAATGGCAATTCTGGTCTGTGTACACGACGTATGTGGGAAAATTCAGTTTTCACGGGGCGTAGCGCAGGAACAACTTTCGCTGCGCGACAACCCCTCGTCTGATTTTTATGTTTTTGGTGTCAAAAGATGCGCAAAGCTTGAGGCTAAAACGTTATAAAAGATTGGGTCGCGAAAAAAAAAATCAAGGCTATCGTGGAAAAAAAGTCGAGAGGGGGGGGGGGGTTCCGCCCGGCACCTTTAGGGTTTGAGCAGAGTGTGCCAACTTCAACATTACAAACGAGTTATTACTGTGTTGTGGAGCACAATAAAGTATAGAATTAATACGGATGTGTGAAATTGAAAGACACGAATGCGTGTTGTGTAGAACATGCGTGAGACGATGCTCATTTCTCATAATCATGATCGATAACACCCACCAATTCCAGGTCTCCTGCTGGTTGTCTTCTACCTTTTAGATGACGCAGAAAAACAATTCCCACAATCACAGCCAGGATAATCAAGATAATGACGACAGTAACGACTGGGATCAGAACTGTCCTGCTACCAGTTCCTGCTGATACAAAAAAACACACAATATTAATATCATGGTTCTAATTGACGGTAAGTTTGAATAACACTTCCCTTCAAGGGCAAATTTGTTTTACCTCAAACACCACGGAATCGTTCGATGTATTTCAACCAGCACAAAAGAGCTCATTGTTTTACCTTCGGTCTTGGTAATCGGTAGTGTAGTTACTGGTGCTAGGCTCTTTACAGATGATGTTGTTTCTGTCCATTCCGTAGATGGTGCAGCTGATTCAATGGCTGAAAACAACGACAAAAATTATAAAAATATCAAAGAGGCTTGATAAACTTTAGTATAATTTTAATATACACTTAACGTCATTTCCGATTTAAAAAATAAATAATGTTGTGCTGGAATATCGTCAAGTCATATTCGAACGTTTGAGTTTTTGAGGTGTCAAACCAGGAAAAAGAAAAGAAAAAAAAACACGTATACACCATCTGTACAATTAAGTAATTTAGATGGAATTCGGTTTGATCTAGGCTTATACAACGTCACATCTATAGTTCTCACTGCAAAGGAGAGGAGGGGGCAGCCAGTGGGCTGGGCCGGGGTTGGATATTGGGTGGCATATTTATGTTACACCTGTTAATGGTCACTTATATTTCCGGGGAAGTGGGCAACAATTCTATTCGTGATGGTGGAGGGGGGGGGTTTCTTATGTACTTAGTAGAAGTTAAATGTCATCATAGCAGTTGATGTTAATTATGATGATGGGATTGTAGAGCAAAATATTGTAACACGTTTATTTGCAGAAGAGAGTAAAACTAAAAGAAAGGACACATTTGAGCACTTCCTAATTATGTCATGCACCACATGTTAAATATATTTGTTACAAAACTGTGAATATGAAATCAGGTATACACGATTTATTTTAATAATTATGTATTTGCATTACAGGGTAGTACTTAAACAAAACTCAGGGGATATAATTTTCAAACACCACGGAATGGTGCGATGTATTTCAAGCAGCACAAACGCGCACATTGTTTTACCTTCGGTCTTGGTAATCGGTGGTGTAGTTACTGGTGCTAGGCTCTTTACAGGTGCTGTTGTCATGTTGAATGATTCAGATGTCAATTCAGTGAATGGTGCAGCTGATTCAATGGCTGAGGAAAAACAACAAAAATTCAAAAAAATATCATTGTGACGACACTTTAACCCTAAAGGGGCCGGGTTATTTTGACCATCTCTCAACCGGGGGGGGGGGGATTCCGCCCCCCCCCCCTCTAAGATCTCGGCCATCGAGTGACGAAAAATTTTGAAACTCGGCACATGCATAGAGCGACTCTTCCTAAACATACCCAAGAAATTTCATGACTATAGGTCAAAAGGTTTTGGAATTATGGCTAATTAATTATTCATATGTACGAATGGCAATTCTGCTCTGTGTACACGACGTATATGCACAAATTCAGTTTTGACGGCGCGTAGCGCCGGAAAATTTTTCGCTACGCGGCAACCCGTGGTCCGATTTTTATGTTTTGGGTGTCAAAAGGTGCGCAAAGCTCGAGGCTATAAAGTCATAACAGCTCGGGTCGCGAAAAAAAATTTTTTAGAGGCTATCACGGAAAATGTTGAGGGGGGGGGGCGGATTCCGCCCACCGGCCCCTTTAGGGTTAAAGTAGAAACACAATCTAACAATCCAAGTTTTATTGCTAGAGATAAGCATTTGTTGAGTTACAAACGCTGGGCGTTCGGCAGGCAATTTTTTTTTATTGAACATTGCCAAATGAGAAGGACCAGTTGTTTTATTTTTTTTTTAAGATGTTTTTGGGGGTTTTGTTGTGGCTTGATAAATTTGAGTATACATTTAATTTACACTTAACGTCATATCCGATTTGATAACCTTACAATTAAAATGTGCCAATTGAATTTTGATTTGGATCAGATGGGAAACTTGTTGTACAGTGAAAGAATTTCTGTATATATGGATATTAACATGGATGTTTAAGTGTATGTATTATTAACACCTTAATCCGGTAGGACGATGACACGGCAATAGGAAACTCAATGTCAAAATATCTGATCTTACTATTTTGGCTCAAAAATAGTAATTAAAATGGTCAATTGAGGGATATGCATTGACAAACAATGAGAAATGTGATAATGTTCTAATTCTTCCCTACAGTAACTTTTGACTGATGACATCATCCATTTGATATACTGTACATTCATTTGCGGATGTCTGATTATCCATGGGCAATTTGGTCAATATTTGGAAAAGATTTTTTTTTTTATTAAAAACAAGTTTAATTGTCCTTGATGTGCATATAGAGGGCGCCCTTTGGAGTGATTACGCCATCATGCGGATTTTTTGTTTGTTGGGGTGTTGGGGAGTTTGTTTGTTTGTTTTTTGAGGAGGTTGTGTTTTGCAATTGAATTAGGTGAGCACCTAATTCAAGTTTCGTTGCTCTTTTAGTAACACCAAAAATAAAGGTAAAAAATGTTGCCTTGGACTATGTACAAGACATTACCATGAAAGAGAACGGTGCTCATTTCATCTGAAAAAAATAAAGAAGAACCAACATGTTTTTTTCTAGTCCGAGGACGGCTGCCTGACCTAAAATGTATATTCGTCAGGACAGATTTTTCAGGTCAAGGAGCCAGACTTCATGTACCTATTAATATCAACTGACTTCCAGTTTGATGACATCACATCATTATTGTGCCCATCGTCAATAATGAAGCTGACTTTGTTTTCGCAAAGATGATCCCAATAGGCACAATAGGCTTAATTGTCCAGATAATGTTTATGGACAATTTGGTAAAATTTGGCAACTGTTTTTAAATAAAAATAAAACAAGCTTTGACCTGCTGCAGTGGGCGTCCATTCGGAGGACGACGTCACTATCAATTGTTTTGATTGTACAGTTTCTCACTACACAGTTTCTAAAGGCCCTCGTCAAGTTCTGTTGCGCCCGAAATAAACATGTTGCAAAGGGCAATGCCTACCAGGTCAACATAGAAAGAACCTCAGCTGGTACAAAGTTCGGTTAGAAATATAGTTTAAAATATTTTGTAAAATTTTGACCTTAAATCGCTTGTGATTTGATAATTATGTGATGACGTATATTTTTTTTATTGTTTTTCATTTTTGTTTGTTTAATACATCTTTTAATGTGTTAGACATCCCTTGATAAAGCTAACTCAATCGGCACGCTGGTGGTGACGGACTTCTCCAAGGCTTTTGACTGCGTCGACCATACTTGGCGATCCAGAATTTGTATGACCTTGGTGTGAGGAGTGAAATAATCCCCTGGATCTGCAACTTCCTCACGTCTTGGCGGCAGAGAGTATAATATCACTCTGCACTATCTGAATGGGAGACCCTTTCATGCGGAATGCCGCAGGGCACTAAGCTTGGCCCTACAATTTGTATTGCTCTTGTCAATGATGCTGCAGAGAATGCGATCTGCCACAGCTTCAAATATTTTTGAAGCTGCGGAGGTCCGTCCCACCAGCTCGCCCATCAGCCAGATAGACTTGGATATTAAAGCCCTTGATGCCTGGTTCCAAAAAAAACACCTCTTGCTCAAACCCTCTAAATGCAAGGTGATGCAAATCTGTTTCAACAAGCTTCCTCCCGCCCCACTTGATCTGGAAATTGCTGGGGGAAGCTTGAGACAATGAATGAGACTAAGCTCTTTGGTCTCACAATACAATTTAATCTATGCTGGGACTTGCAGGTCAATACCATGATCACTAACAGTAGCCGTAGGTTATATACACCCATTCGGTTGAAGCGCTTTGGTGTACCTGTGGAGAATTTGATCTCGGTGAACATTGGATATGTGCGCCCTGCTGTTGGGTATGCTGCACCAGTGTGGCATGGTAGCATTAACACCCATCAAACGCAGCAAATTGAACGAATCCCAAAAAGGGCCTGCTACATTATCCTTGGCAATAAGCAACCCCAAAAAACAGGATATCTGCGTACTTTTTCGACTAAGTTAATACTAACAATTCATTAGCAGTGGCAGAATTACAAAGATGGTCCCTTCTGCAAGCTTGCGATCCAGGCCATACTGTCGTTATCAGTACTGTTTTTACAGCAATAAACGAACCCCGTTTTTTCTGAATTGGTGATAATTTTGTTAATGAAAAATGCCAGAAATGGCGATGTCACACCATCGTTTCCTGTTTAATTTCGAAGGGCAGGTAGTCGTACTGGTCGCGTAGGATATTTGAAATGAGAAGGCGGGGGCAATGAAAAAAAAGGCAAGACACTTTTCCTACATTTTTGCAGAACTTGTCGGAAAATTCTGTGGAATATTCGGTCAACTAGCTGTTGTTAATACAAAAAGGGAAAATATTTTGTAAGATAATAATACAGACATACAAAGTGAATAAAAAAAAATGACCAGGATTAATATTATTTTTCCTTTAAGTATGTTTTTCTGTGTTTCAGAGCGAGGGAGGGGGGGGGGGTCGACCCCTAAAACCCCAGATGTATCTGCTACTTTGTAATACAATTACTACCTCCATCGTTTGACATATTGCCATAAAAGAGAAACAACGTTGGCATCCGTGAATGTTTCTTACAACCTCGAGGACACATTGCATCCCAAGCTGTGTCTGCCATTGTGAGTATAACAAATGATATATTCTTTCCAGTAATGCTTTGTTTACCTGTAAGCTCGGAGCACTCCACCCCAGCATCTTCAAAGTGCCAACAGTCTTGATCCTCTACCCCAAGATGTGAGCAGTGAAATATAGAACTCTCTTGCCCCGTGCATCCCACCTCGTCCATCTGTATCGGTCCCTGTCCCTGGCCGTACGTTGCGCCTGTGGCCGCCGTCACGGCCGCTCCGAAGCCCAACTCACGGCAGACCACGTTGGCGTCGTTCAGGTCCCAACTGTCGTCGCACACGGTGCCCCACTCGCCGTTAACGTAGACCTCCACTCGGCCTTCGTAGATGGACCCTCCGTCCCGTAGACGAACTGCCAGATAGATATTAAACGAATATAAATTGGCAATTTTCAACAAAGAAAAAGACGTCTGCGTAGTTTTCGTAGCATTAGCATAGTAACTGTTTCCAAGATGGTCCCTTTTTGAAGCTTGCGATCCATGCCACACTGTCGTTATACTGCCTTTCAGGAAAACAAACCCCGTTTTTTCGAATTGCTTATCTTTTGTTAAGAAAAAAGCGAGATATAGCGATGTCACGCAGTCGTTTCCCGTTTAATTTCCAAAGGCAGGTAGTGGTATAGGTCGCGTAGGATATTTGTAATCGAAAGGTGGGGCTATGAAAAAGGCAGGACACTTTTTCCACATTTTTGCAGAACTTGTTGGGCAATTATGTTGAATATTCGTTCGACTAGATGTTGTTCAAAATAAAGGAAAAATATTTTGTAAGGTAATAATATAAATATACAATAAAGTGAGTCAAAAAAGAAAGTGACCCAGGTCAATATTTTTCCCTTAAAAATTTATTTAATTTGAAACACAAATGCAGCAAATTTGCGAAAAAAAACCTTTCTTTTTGTTCTGATTTTGTATTTCGTCTTCCCCTTCCACTTCCTCTTGTGCCTCCAGTCCAATATACTTTGTACACAACTTTGTTTGTAATTACAGCCTGGCCAGAGACTTACATCGTTGAAAGAAGGTTCACATGTTTTCCACTTTCAAACTGGAAATGTTGCTACACTATCAGTCAATTTTTGTTACATTATCGGTTACAACCGATAATGTAACAACAATTGACGGATAGCGTAGTAAATTGTACTACACTACCGGTCAATTTTTGTTACATTATTGGGTAGTGATGCAGTATCGGTTAGTTTTTGTGACATTATCGGTTTGCGATACATTATCCGTTGGTTACTACATTATCAGTTGTAACACCCTCCGTATCATAGGAAATGCCAATGCAGAATTTCACCTTGAGTTGGCGAGACAGTTGTTAGATCGTCGCGGGGGTATTCAGTACTGCCAGCTTGTATGAGGTCGTCCGTATTTTCAATGAGAAGTCGGGGGCAATGACAAAAAAGGCAGGACACTTTTCCTACATTTTTGCAGAACTTGTTGGAAAATTCTGTGGAATATTTGGTCAACTAGCTGTTGTTCATACAAAAAGGGAAATTATTTTGTAAGATAATAAGACAGACATACAAAGTGGAAAAAATGACCAGCATTTCTATTATGTTCCCTTAGGTATATTTGTGTGTGTGTGTCAGAGCGGGGGGGGGGGGGTCCGACCCCTTAAACCCCAGATGTAGCCGCTACTTTGTAACACAATTACCTCCATCGTTTGCCATATTGCCATAAAAAGAAACAACGTTGGCATCCGTGAATGTTTCTTACAACCTCGAGGACACATTGCATCCCAGGCTGTGTCTGCCATTGTGAGTATAACAAATTATATATTCTTTCCAGTAATTCTATGTTTACCTGTAGACTCGGAGCACTCCACCCCAGCATCTTCATGATGCCCACAGTTATGCTGCTGTATGCCATTATGTGAGCAGTCAAAGATGGAACTCTCTTGCCCCGTGCATCCCACCTCGTCCAGCTGTATCGGTCCCTGTCCGGGGCCGTATGTAGCGCCTGAGGCCGCCCTCAGGGCCGCTCCAAAACCCAACTCACGGCAGACCACGTTGGCGTCGTTCAGGTCCCAACTGTCGTCGCACACGGTGCCCCACTCGCCGTTAACGTAGACCTCAACTCGGCCTTCGTAGATGGACCCTCCGTCCCGTAGACGAACTGCCGGGTAGACAACGGATATTAATTGGCATTGAGCAACCTCAAAAAGGGTATCTGCGTATTTTTCGTAGAAGATAATAAATTCGGTAGCAATGGCAAACTTTTTTTCAAAGAAGTTCTCTTCTCGAAGCTTGCAATCCCTGTCATTTGTAGTTACACTGCTTTTACAGGGACAACAAACCCTTTTTTCCGAATTGCTTATTTGTTTTTTAAGAGAAGTGTCAGTGATGTCCCGCCATTGTTTCCTGTTTAATTTCCTAGGGCAGGTAGTCGTATAGGTCGCGTAGCAATGTTTGTAATCGGACGGCTTGGGCTATAAGGGAAGCAGAATACGTTTCCTACATTTTTGCAGAACATGTTGGAAAATTCTATGGAATATTCGGTTGACTAGCTGTTTTTCATAAAAAAATAGAAACTATTTTGTAAGGTAATAATACAGAGATATAAAGTGATTAAAAAAAGAAAAGTAACCCGTATTAATATTATTTGTCCCTTAATATTTTGAGTGTGTATCAGAGAAGGGAGGGGAGGGGGTTCGACTCCAAAACCCCCCAGCTGTGTCCTCGTCTGTGCAGAGAAAACTAATAACTCCTTCGTTTGATAGGAGTGTTGGTAGCCGTGATAAGAGACATTTTTACAACCTCGTAGACAGATTGCGTCCTAGGCTGTTTCTCAAGTATCGTGCATCCCTAGGCCATTGTGAGTATAACAAATTAAATATTCTTTCAAGTAATTTGATATTTACCTCTAGGCACTGAGCACTCCACCCCAGCATCTTCCGAGTGTCCACAGTTATCCTGCTGTACCCAAGCATGAGAACAGTGAAAGATGGAACTCTCTTGCCCCATGCATTCCACATCGTACATCTGTATTGGTCCCTGTCCAGGGCCGTACGTTGCGTCCGAGGCCGCCGTCACGGCCGCTCCGAAGCGCAGCTCACGGCAGATCACGTTGGCGTTGTTCAGGTCCCAACTGTGGTCACACACGGTGACCCACTGGCCGTCAGTGTAGACCTCCACTCGGCCTTCGTAGATGGACCCTCCGTCCCGTAGACGAACTGCCGAATAGGCGACGGATATTAATTTGCAATGAGCCACCCCCCTCCCCAAAAAAAATATCTGGGTATTCGACTGCATAGAAGATAATAAAAATTGATAGCATTGACATAATACATGTTTTTTTTCCAAAATGGGTATTTCTCGAAGCTTGCAATCCATGCCATACTGTCCTTATACTGCTTTTACTGGAAAAACAAACTTTGTTTTTCGAATTTGTTATTTCTTTTTTAAATAAGAGTGCCAGAAATAGTGATGTCACGCAATGGTTCCCATTTAATTTCCTAGGGAATGAAGGCGTATAGGTCGAGTAGGAAATTTGTAATCGGAAGGCGGGGCTATATAAAAAAAACGGCAGGACATTATTTCTCACATTTTCGCAGACTTTGTTAGAAATTGTGTGGAATGTTTGGTCGACTAGCTGTTCTTTATACAAAAAGAGAAAATGTTTTGTTAGGTAATAATACAGATATAAAAGAAATTGATCAAAAAGAAACTGCTGACCTTGATCAATACTTTTTCCCCCTTAATATGTTTTTGAGTCAGAGCGGGGGGGGGGGGGGGGGGCTCGATTCCTAAAACCCCCATTTATGTCAACTCATAAATTCTTTGGTTCCCATTTGGGGGCCGTGTCACACATTTTTCATAAAAGGGGGCATACGTGTATTCCAAAAGGAAGCTTGTGAGAGCCCTTATGGATTTATGGCACATTTTTTCAAACTCTCACGAAGACCTATGGACACCTCAACAAGTGAAAAACTGCTCCAACCTACTTATCTCTCCACCCACCCCCCCATTGGCCATTAAAATGACAGCTTTTTTAACATATCTTGCATATATTGAACACATACAAATTGACAAATAATCGATTTTTAGAGACATTTATGTTTTGATATAAATCTCCATAACTCAAACTTCAAGAGAGTGGGCTCCAATTTGAGCTTAGCAGAGTGAAACCTTGAAACCTTGTCGCCCCCCCCCCCAGTCGCCCCCCCCCCCCACACTGAGATTTTGATTTTCTAAAACAATTATCATTGATCTAAATCTAAATAGTCGCAAATGATCCACATGATGACCACTGAAAAACGACCCTTCGACCAGCGACCGCGGACCAGTAAGCTGACAACAGGCGTTACATAGCGCATAATGATAATCTAAAATGCGTATTAACACCCACTGCACTGCTCGCTCACACCACAGAACACGTATTATAGACAGGTGGTCCGTGGGTCACACAGTTTCAGTCAGCGATATCACGCGAATCGGCCACGCACAAACTTTTTCCTCCATTCATATAAGCTAAATAATAATAATAGACAAATTAAAATTCCTTGAAATCAGTGGCGTAGCCACGGGGGGGGGGGGGGGGGATGAAACCTTGTCGCCCCCCCCCCCAAACGCCCCCCCCCCCCCCTACTGAGATTTTTAGTTTCTAAAAAAAATATCATTGATCTACATGACGCCATGGGCGTCAATCCTGGGGGACAGGGGGACTGGTCCCCCCCCCCCACTGTTTGAAGGGTGGGGGACACAATATCAAATGTCCCCCCCCCCCCACATTTTTGAACTCGTGTCTCATTTACAGGGCCCTATTATGTACTACACTGTATCTTTTGCATAGAAAATATTGGTTAAAGTGGTAAGAAATTGCCTCAGATCACATCACAGAGCATCGAGAATCCAATTTTGTTAAGCGGGCCCCGAACCCCACGCCTATAGCTCAGAATAACGATAGCTGATTCAATGACTCCAACTTCAAAAACGATGTTCAAATAATTATCTTTTGCTAAGAAAATATTAGTTAAAGCATGGAAGAAAGTGGTAAGAAATTGCTTCAGATCACACTACAGAACATCTAGAATCCATTTTTTTTTCGGGGCCCTTAAGCGGGCCCCGAACCACCATGCCGTAAAGGGCTTCGCGCTTCGCGCTCGCATTAGTTCTGATCAGGGTATGTCCCCCCCCCCCCACTTCTGAGAAGCGATTGACGCCCCTACATGACGCCCCCCCATGAAATGTTCCAGCCCCCCCCCCCCAACTGAACAATTCCTGGCTACGCCACTGGAAATAACGTTTGAAAATGACAAAGTTCAATATTAAGAGTAAAACTTATCAAACTTGGGTGATTCAGTGAACCTTTATAAGTCACTTGTAATTGGACAACATATTTGGCATTTAATATCCATGACCTTATTTAGTAATAGAAAAGTGTGAGACTATATTGTCAATAGTTTCAGAATCCAGATCTGGATGGATTACAGAAAATTTGTTTCACTTAACAGTTTTAAATTTGGCATATCACCATAAATGATATGATTGGTGATGTACTTCAAGATTGGATATATCAAAAGGATTTGTAGCCACCAAGTACAGAAACACATCTTAGGCTGAAACTTTGATGGGTATATTGCCAATAGTTTCTGAAAACCCTATCCACATGAAGGCCCAGGCAGAAATCGAACCCTGCGATGAAAGGCGAGGTAAGTAACCAACGAGCCAACCTGACTCCCCAAGCGCCAACCTGGCTCCCCAAAGATTCAAGAAAAGCATGTGACTAGTTCAAATTATAAAAGTATTTTAATAACTACAAATCCTTTAAAACTCAAAAGTTAGGCAAACCTCTTGACAGAGGCTTGGGATATCAAGTTTTCCTTCTGATATATCCAATCTTAAAGTATGACACCAATTATATTAATGATACATATATTCAGTGATATGCCATATTTAAGACTGTGACACACACAAAATGTTGTGTAATCCATCCAGATCTGGACTCTGAAACTATTGACAATATAGTCTCACACTGTTCTATTACTAAATAACGTCATGGATATTAAATATGTTGTCCAATTACAAGTGACTTATGTAGGATTCACTAAATCACCCAAGTTTGGCAAGTTTTACTCTTAATATTGCAATTTGTAATTTTAAAACTTTATTTCCAATGATCGAGTACCACATTTCATAATATCATTTTTATAAATTAAGTGAAGATAAATACATTTAATATTAAAAGGGCTATTGCAGTGTGTATGTTATTAAACAAGGTCAGTATTGTTGTCAGGACAAAATAAACTACTGTGAAATCTCAACAAGTCAACCTCTGATAAATCAAACCTCCTGTTCAGTCAAACAAAGACTAATTCTTCCCTTCAGTATAACAGTGATATACAACCCTGCTTGACTCAAAACTCAGCTTAGCTCACATTCTGAGCCCATTCTCTCAAAGTTTGACTTATCGCGATTTCACTGTATATCAAAACATAAATATCTCATAAAATTGATTATTTGTCCATTTGTACATGTATGTGTACAATATGCCAGATATGTTAAAAACGGCTGCCATTTTAATGGCCAATGGGGGAGGGAGGGGGAGCAGTTTTTCACTTGTTGAGATGTCCATAGGTGTTTGTGAGAGTTTGAAAGAATGTGCAATAATCCATATGGGCTCGCACAAGCTTCCTTTTGAAATACACGTATGCCCCCGTTTTATGAAAAAAGTGTGACACGCCCCCCAAATGGGAGTTGACATGTAAACGTTTTTTCCTCGCCAAATTATAATGGATTGAAACAAAAACAAAAACAAAAACAAAAAACCTCAAAATTGCATTTTACAGGTCGATTTTCTGTTAGTGACATGTGACCTCCACTTTTTTAAATTTTGCCCCACCCCAAAAGAGCCAAAATTGTGGATTTTTTTTTCTGGTGATGTAGCACTTGGGTGAACTGTCCAAATGCGAAAAAGAAAAGTAAAATTGTTTTAATTATTTTTTGCGCGCGATGCCCCCCACTTTTTAAAATCATGGCCACGCCCACAAAAGGGTCAGAAAAAATGGCATCAAGTGGTTTTGAACTTCTTGAGGTATCCTTTAGTGATCCTGAGAGTTTCAAAAGAATGTACCCGAAATTGCATATGGGCCACCACAAGCCCACTGACTATTGGACTCATTACATCCTAGGCTTTGTCTCAAGAGTTATGCGTCCCTAGGTCATTGTGAGTATAACACATTATACATTCTTTCCAGTAATTTTATGTTTACCTGTAGGCTCTGAGCACTCCACCCCAGCATCCTCCGAGTGTCTACAGTTGTGTTGCTGTACCCCAGGATGCGAGCAGTGAAAGATGGAACTCTCTTGCCCCGTGCACCCCATCTCGTCCAGCTGTATCGGTCCCTGTCCGGGGCCGTATGTAGCGCCTGAGGCAGCCCTCAGGGCCGCTCCGAAGCCCAGCTCACGGCAGACCACGTTGGCGTCGTTCAGGTCCCAACTGTCGTCGCACACGGTGCCCCACTCGCCGTTAACGTGGACCTCCACTCGGCCTTCGTAGATGGACCCTCCGTCCCGTAGACGAACTGCCAGATAGGTATTAAACGGATATTATTTGGCAATTTTCAACAAAGAAAAAGACGTCTGCGTAGTTTTCGTAGCATTGGCATTATAACTTTTTCCAAGATGGTCCCTTTTTGAAGCTTGCGATCCATGCCATACTGTCGTTATACTGCCTTTCAGGAAAACAAACCCCGTTTTTTCAAATTGCTTATCTTTTGTTAAGAAAAGAGCTAGATATAGCGATGTCACGCAGTCGTTTCCCGTTTAATTTCCAAAGGCAGGTAGTGGTATAGGTCGCGTGGGATATTTGTAATCGAAAGGTAGGGCTATGAAAAAGGCAGGACACTTTTCCCACATTTTTGCAGAACTTGTTGGGCAATTATGTTGAATATTCGTTCGACTAGATGTTGTTCAAAATAAGGGAAAAATATTTTGTAAGGTAATAATACAGATATATAATAAAGTGAGTCAAAAAAAGAAAGTGACCCAGGTCAATATTTTTCCCTTAAAATTAATTTAATTTGATACACAAATGCAGCAAATTTGCGGAAAAACATTTCTTTTTGTTCTGCTTTTGTATTTCGTCTTCCCCTTCCACTTCCTCTTGTGCCTCCAGTCCAATAGACTTTGTACACATCTTTTCTGTCCCCGACTTTTGGCATTCATATTTTGCATACATCCTTCAAAGTTACCATAGGTAAAGTCCACATGGTACAGTTGTATGCCGAAGAGTTACCTCATGATGTTGTAATCATGGGTCAGATTACAAGCAACCAAAGATGTGTAGACCTAATCTTTGAAAATCAATATACAATCAACCTTGAAAATCAATATACAATCAACCTTGAAAATCAATATACAATCAACCTTGAGAGACATGAACTTGACTCTTCCAGGAATTGATAGAATAACCGAAGATCTTCATTCTATTTATTGTGTGCCAAATCACATGACCCTTCCGGTCCAAACCGGAAGTGCTTTATAATTTGAAAGTGGAAAACATGTGAACCTTCTTTCAACGATGTAAGTCTCTGGCCAGGCTGTAATTACAAACAAAATACCGGTGACGTCATAACATGTTAGAGCGTCCCTAGCGGCAGGTTGAAAAATGTAAAAAATGAACAAAGAGTTGATCCGTGTTGCGAAGTTTGCTGAAATCACTTCATAATTGATGTATATAATAGGCTTCATGGAAAGAACAAGTTGAGGAAGAGACCTGATGCTAGATGAAAAGAACTTTAAACCTTAAAAGAAAATCCTGAAAAAATCAACCGCGAGAGATATAATCCCGATTTTTGTTATTCAAATAGCACAGTTAACTTAGCTCTTGAGCTTTCTGATAAGGACGTGACGACGACGTCATCAAGTATCAGATCACAAACAATTGAATATTTCTAGGTTTCATCTTTGAAAATCACCAGAAAATCAATCGTAAAAGATCTGAATTTGACTTTTGCGGGAATTGATAGAATACTCCAAGATCTGCATTTTTCATATCACGTACAAATTAAACTGACCCTTTCTCCCGGTCCCTTTCTACGTGGTGCATAGCACCTCGACTTTGTGTTAAACAGTCATATCCCTCCTCACAGCAGTCAACAATTTTTAAATAGTTACAAGCGGACTGGGTGGATATGGTGGTGCAATGGGGTCTGGAGTGGAACACGCCCCTGAAGCAACTACAAATTGGGAAACAGGAAACTAGTTTGACCTGTGTACTGGTCCAAACTCCCATATAGCCAAGATAATAGACATTCTAGAACGAGAGAACGAACGACCTTCCGAATCATAGAACATTCAAATGCAGGATTTCACCTTGAGTTGGTGAGTCAGTTGTTGTTAGATCGTCACGGGGGTATTCAGTAGTGCCAGCTTGTGTATGGTCGTCCGTTGAGGGGGACGTAGGAGCAGCAGTCGTTGGTGTTTCTAGATGGAGTGAAGGAGAAAGTCAAAAATATGTAATTATTAACGTATCAGTGTCCTCTTCTATACTCGACTGACCGATTGAACGACAGAATGACCAACCGACCGACCGAACGAAAGATATACTGACCGACCGACCGAGGGACCAAACGACCCTCTGTTACAACTGATAATGTAGTAACCAACGGATAATGTATCACCAACCGATAATGTCACAAAAACTAACCGATACTGTATCACTAACCGATAATGTAACACAAAATTACTAATAGTGTTGGAAATGTTGCTACACTATCAGTCATTTTTTGTTACATTATCGGTTACAACCGATAATGTAACAACAATTGACGGATATAGTAAATTGAACCACACTACCGGTCAATTTTTGTTACATTATTTGTTAGTGATTCAGTATCGGTTAGTATTTGTGACATTATCGGTTTGTGATACATTATCCGTTGGTTACTACATTATCAGTTGTAACACCCTCCGAATCATAGGAAATGCCAATGCAGGATTTCACCTTGAGTTGGCGAGACAGTTGTTAGATTGTCGCGGGGGTATTCAGTACTGCCAGCTTTTATGAGGTCGTCCGTATTTGTAATGAGAAGTCGGGGGCAATGACAAAAAAGGCAGGACACTTTTCCTACATTTTCGCAGAACTTGTTGGAAAATTCTGTGGAACATTTGGTCAACTAGCTGTTGTTCATACAAAAAGGGAAATTATTTTGTAAGATAATAATACAGACATACAAAGTGAAAAAAAAATGACCAGCATTACTATTATTTTCCCTTAAGTATGTTTTTGTGTGTGTGTCAGAGCGAGGGGGGGGGGGGGTCCGACTCCTTAAACCCCAGACGTATCCGCTACTTTGTAACACAATGACCTCCATCGTTTGCCATATTGCCATAAAAAGAAACAGCGTTGGCAGCCGTGAATGTTTCTTACAACCTCGAGGACACATTGCATCCCAGGCTGTGTCTGCCATTGTGAGTATAACAAATGATATATTCTTTCCAGTAATTCTATGTTTACCTGTAGGCTCGGAGCACTCCACCCCAGCATCTTCATGATGCCCACAGTTATGCTGCTGTATGCCATTATGTGAGCAGTCAAAGATGGAACTCTCTTGCCCCGTGCATCCAACATTGTCCAGCTGTATCGGTCCCTGTCCCTGGCCGTACGCGGCATTCGAGGCCGCTGTCACGGCCGCTCCGAAGCCCAGCTCACGGCAGACCACGTTGGCGTCGTTCAGGTCCCAACTGTCGTCGCACACGGTTCCCCACTCGCCCTTAAAGTAGACCTCCACTCGGCCTTCGTAGATGGACCCTCCGTCCCGTAGACGAACTGCCAGATAGGTATTAAACGGATATTCATTGACAATTTTCAACAAAGAAAAAGACGTCTGCGTAGTTTTCGTAGCATTGGCATAGTAACTTTTTCCAAGATGGTCCCTTTTTGAAGCTTGCGATCCATGCCATACTGTCGTTATACTGCCTTTCAGGAAAACAAACACCGTTTTTTTTTTCGAATTGTTTATCTTTTGTTAAGAAAAGAGCTAGATATAGCGATGTCACGCAGTCGTTTCCCGTTAATTTTCAAAGGCAGGTAGTGGTAAAGGTCGCGTAGGATATTTGTAATCGAAAGGTGGGGCTATGAAAAAGGCAGGACACTTTTCCCACATTTTTGCAGAACTTGTTGGGCAATTATGGTAAATATTCGTTCGACTAGATGTTGTTCAAACCCAAGGAAAAATATTTTGTAAGGTAATAATACAGATATACAATAAAGTGAGTCAAAACAGAAAGTGACCCAGGTCAATATTTTTCCTTAAAAAATAATATAAATTGATACACAAATGCAGCAAATTTGCGGAAAAAACTTTCTTTTTGTTCTGATTTTGTATTTCGTCTTCCCCTTCCACTTCCTCTTGTGCCTCCAGTCCAATAGACTTTGTACACATCTTTTCTGTCCCCGACTTTTGGCATTCATATTTTGCATACATCCTTCAAAGTTACCATAGGCAAAGTCCACATGGCACAGCTGTATGCCGAAGAGTTACCTCATGATGTCGTAATCATGGGTCAGATTACAAGCAACCAAAGGTGTATAGACTTAATCTTTGAAAATCTATATACAATCAACCTTGAAAATCAATATACAATCAACCTTGAGAGACATGAACATGACTCTTCCGGGAATTGATAGAATAACCGAAGATCTTCATTCTATTTCTTGTGTGCCAAATCACATGACCCTTCCGGTCCAAACCGGAAGTGCTTTATAATTTGAAAGTGGAAAACATGTGAACCTTCTTTCAACGATGTAAGTCTCTGGCCAGGCTGTAATTACAAACAAAATACCGGTGACGTCATAACATGTTAGAGCGTCCCTAGCGGCAGGTTGAAAAATGTAAAAAATGAACAAAGAGTTGATCCGTGTTGCGAAGTTTGCTGAAATCACTTCATAATTGATGTATATGATAGGCTTCATGGAAAGAACAAGTTGAGGAAGAGACCTGATGCTTGATGAAAAGAACTTTAAACCTTAAAAGAAAATCCTGAAAAATCAACCGCGAGAGATATAATCCCGATTTTTGTTATTCAAATAGCACAGTTAACTTAGCTCTTGAGCTTTCTGATAAGGACGTGACGACGACGTCATCAAGTATCAGATCACAAACAATTGAATATTTCTAGGTTTCATCTTTGAAAATCACCAGAAAATCAACCGTAAAAGATCTGAATTTGACTTTTGCGGGAATTGATAGAATACTCCAAGATCTGCATTTTTCATATCACGTACAAATTAAAGTGACCCTTTCTCCCGGTCCCTTTCTACGTGGTGCATAGCACCTCGACTTTGTGTTAAATAGTCATATCCCCCCTTACAGCAGTCAACAATTGTTAAATAGTTACAAGCGGACTGGGTGGATATGGTGGTGCAATGGGGTCTGGAGTGGAACACGCCCCTGAAGCAACTACAAATTGGGAAACAGGAAACTAGTTTGACCTCTGTACTGGTCCAAACTCCCATATAGCCAAGATAATAGATATTCTAGAACGAGAGAATGAACGATCTTCCGAATCATTGACAATTCAAATGCAGGATTTCACCTTGCGTTGGCGAGACGGTTGTTGTTAGATCGTCGCGGGGGTATTCAGTAGTGCCAGCTTGTGTATGGATGTCCGTTGATGGAGAAATACGAGCGGCAATCGTTGGTGTTTCTAGATGGAGTGATGGAGAAAGTCAAAAATATGTAATTATTAACGTATCAGTGTCCTCTTCTATACTCGATTGAACGACCGATTGACCGACCGACCGACCGAACGGAGATATACTGACCGACCGACCGAGGGACCAAACGACCCTCTGTTACAACTGATAATGTAGTAACCAACGGATAAAGTATCACCAACCGATAATGTCACAAAAACTAACCGATACTGTATCACTAACCGATAATGTAACACAAAATGACTGACAGTGTAGGAAATGTTGCTACACTATCAGTCAATTTTTGTTACATTGTCGTTTACAACCGATAATGTAACAACAATTGACGGATAGCGTAGTAAATTGTACTACACTACCGGTCAATTTTTGTTACATTATTGGTTAGTGATGCAGTATCGGTTAGTTTTTGTGACATTATCGGTTTGCGATACATTATCCGTTGGTTACTACATTATCAGTTGTAACACCCTCCGAATCATAGGAAATGCCAATGCAGGATTTCACCTTGAGTTGGCGAGACAGTTGTTAGATCGTCGCGGGGGTATTCAGTACTGCAAGCTTGTATGAGGTCGTCCTTATTTTCAATGAGAAGTCGGGGGCAATGACAAAAAAGGCAGGACACTTTTCCTACATTTTTGCAGAACTTGTTGGAAAATTATGTGGAATATTTGGTCAACTAGCTGTTGTGCATACAAAAAGGGAAATTATTTTGTAAGATAATAAGACAGACATACCAAGTGGAAAAAAAATGACCAGCATTACTATTATTTTCCCTTAAGTATGTTTTTGTGTGTGTGTCAGAGCGAGGGGGGGGGGGGGGGGGGTCCGACCCCTTAAACCCCAGATGTATCCGCTACTTTGTAACACAATCACCTCCATCGTTTGCCATATTGCCATAAAAAGAAACAGCGTTGGCAGCCGTGAATGTTTCTTACAACCTCGAGGACACATTGCATCCCAGGCTGTGTCTGCCATTGTGAGTATAACAAATGATATATTCTTTCCAGTAATTCTATGTTTACCTGTAGGCTCGGAGCACTCCACCCCAGCATCTTCATGATGCCCACAGTTATGCTGCTGTATGCCATTATGTGAGCAGTCAAAGATGGAACTCTCTTGCCCCGTGCATCCCACCTCGTCCAGCTGTATCGGTCCCTGTCCGGGGCCGTATGTAGCGCCTGAGGCCGCCCTCAGGGCCGCTCCAAAACCCAGCTCACGGCAGACCACGTTGGCGTCGTTCAGGTCCCAACTGTCGTCGCACACGGTGCCCCACTCGCCGTTATCGAAGACCTCCACTCGGCCTTCGTAGATGGACCCTCCGTCCCGTAGACGAACTGCCGGATAGGCAACGGATATCAATTGGCATTGAGCAACCACAAAAAGGGTATCTGCGTATTTTTCGTAGAAGATAATAAATTCGGTAGCAATGGCAAACTTTTTTTCAAAGATGTTCTCTTCTCGAAGCTTGCAATCACTGTCATATTGTAGTTACACTGCTTTTACAGGGACAACAAACCCTTTTTTTCCGAATTGCTTATTTGTTTTGAAGGGAAGTGTCAGTGATGTCCCGCCATTGTTTCCTGTTTAATTTCCTAGGGCAGGTAGTCGTATAGGTCTCGTATCAATGTTTGTAATCTGACGGCTGGGGCTATAAGGAAAGCAGGACACTTTTCCTAAATGTTTGTAGAACATGTTGGAAAAATTCTATGGAATATTCGGTCGACTAGCTGTTGTTCATAAAAAAAATAGAAACTATTTTGTAAGGTAATAATAATACAGACATATAAAGTGAATATAAAAGTGACCTGGATTAATATTATTTGTCTCTTAATATTTTGAGTGTGCCAGAGAAGGGAGGGGAGGGGGCTCGACCCTTAACCCTAAAGGGGCCGGGGGCGGAATCCGCCCCCCCCCCCTCAACATTTTCCGTGATAGCCTCTAAAAAAAAATTTTTCGTGACCCGAGCTGTTATGACTTTTTAGCCTCGAGCTTTGCACATCTTTTGATATCAAAAACATAAAAATCGGACCACGGGTTGCCGCGCGTAGCGAAAAATTTTCAGGCGCTACGCGCCGTCAAAACTGAATTTTCGCATATACGTCGTGTACACAGAGCAGAATTGCCATTCGTACATATGAATAATTAATTGGCCATAATTCCAAAACCCTTTGACCTATAGTCATGAAATTTCTTGGGTATGTCTAGGAAGAGTTGCTCTATGCATGTGCCGAGTTTCAAAATTTTTCGTCACTCGATGGCCGAGATCTTAGGGGGGGGGGGCAGAATCCCCCCCCCCCCCGGCTGAGAGATGGTCAAAATAACCCGGCCCCTTTAGGGTTAAACCCCAATCTGTATCCGCGCCTGTGTAGAGGAAGTTACTGCACCATCGTTTGACAAATTGCCATTAAATGTTGGCAGTCGTGATGTGAGGTTTTTTTTAGGACTCATTGTATCCTAGGCTGTGTCTCAAGTGTTATGCGTCCCTAGGCCATTGTGAGTATAACACATTATACATTCTTTCCAGTAATTCTATGTTCACCTGGCGTAGGCCCAGAGCACTCCACCCCAGCATCTTCATCATGCCCACAGTTATGCTGCTGTATGCCATTATGTGAGCAGTCAAAGATGGAACTCTCTTGCCCCGTGCATCCAACATTGTCCAGCTGTATCGGTCCCTGTCCCTGGCCGTACGCGGCATTCGAGGCCGCTGTCACGGCCGCTCCGAAGCCCAGCTCACGGCAGACCACATTGGCGTCGTTCAGGTCCCAACTGTCGTCGCACACGGTTCCCCACTCGCCATTAAAGTAGACCTCCACTCGGCCTTCGTAGATGAACCCTCCGTCCCTTAGACGAACTGCCAGATAGGTATTAAACGGATATTCATTGGCAATTTTCAACAAAGAAAAAGACGTCTGCGTAGTTTTCGTAGCATTGGCATAGTAACTTTTTCTCAAGATGGTCCCTTTTTAAAGCTTGCGATCCATGCAATACTGTCGTTATACTGCCTTTCAGGAAAACAAACCCCGTTTTTTTTAAGAATTGTTTATCTTTAGCTAGATATAGCGATGTCACGCAGTCGTTTCCCGTTAATTTTCAAAGGCAGGTAGTGGTAAAGGTCGCGTAGGATATTTGTAATCGAAAGGTGGGGCTATGAAAAAGGCAGGACACTTTTCACACATTTTTGCAGAACTTGTTGGGCAATTATGGTAAATATTCGTTCGACTAGTAATAATACAGATATACAATAAAGTGAGTCAAAACAGAAAGTGACCCAGGTCAATATTTTTCCTTAAATTTAATTTAATTTGATACACAAATGCAGCAAATTTGCGGGAAAAAAAACTTTCTTTTGTTCTGATTTTTTTATTTCGTCTTCCCCTTCCACTTCCTCTTGTGCCTCCAGTCCAATATACTTTGTACACGTCTTTTCTGTCCCCGATTTTTGGCATTCATATTTTGCATACATCCTTCAAGGTTACCATAGGCAAAGTACACATGGCACAGTTGTATGCCGAAGAGTTACCTCATGATGTCGTAATCATGGATCAGATTACAAGCAACAAAAGATGTATAGACTTAATCTTTGAACATCAATATACAATCAACCTTGAGGGACATGAACTTGACTCTTGCGGGAATTGATAGAATAATCGAAGCCCTTCATACTATTTCTTTTGTGTCAAATCACATGACCCTTCCGGTCCAAATCGGAAGTGTTTTATAATTTGAAAGTGGAAAACAAGTTTCTTTCAACGATGTAAGTCTCTGGCCAGGCTGTACTTACAAAACAAAATACCGGTGACGTCATAACATGTTAGAGCGCCCCTAGCGGCAGGTTGACAAATGGAAAAAATGAATAAACAGTTGATCCGTGTTGCGAAGTTTGCTGAAATCACTTCATAATTGATGTATATAATATGCTTCATGGAAAGAACAAGTTGAGGAAGAGACCTGATGCTAGTTGAAAATAACTTTAAACCTTAAAAGAAAATCCTGAAAAATCAACCGCGAGAGATATAATCCCGATTTTTGTTATTCAAATAGCACAGTTAACTTAGCTCTTGAGCTTTCTGATAAGGACGTGACGACGACGTCATCAAGTATCAGATCACAAACAATTGAATATTTCTAGGTTTCATCTTTGAAAATCACCAGAAAATCAACCGTAAAAGATCTGAATTTGACTTTTGCGGGAATTGATAGAATACTCCAAGATCTGCATTTTTCATATCACGTACAAAATAAAGTGACCCTTTCTCCCGGTCCCTTTCTACGTGGTGCATAGCATCTCGACTTTGTGTTAAACAGTCATATCCCTCCTCACAGCAGTCAACAATTTTTAAATAGTTACAAGCGGACTGGGTGGATATGGTGGTGCAATGGGGTCTGGAGTGGAACACGCCCCTGAAGCAACTACAAATTGGGAAACAGGAAACTAGTTTGACCTGTGTACTGGTCCAAACTCCCATATAACCAAGATAATAGCCATTCTAGAACGAGAGAACAAACGACCTTCCGAATCATAGAACATTCAAATGCAGGATTTCACCTTGAGTTGGCGAGTCGGTTGTTGTTAGATCGTCACGGGGGTATTCAGTAGTGCCAGCTTGTGTATGGTCGTCCGTTGATGGGGACGTAAGAGCGGCATTCGTTAGTGTTTCTAGATGGAGTGATGGCGAAAGTCAAAAATATGTAATTATTAACGAATCAGTGTCCTCTTCTATACTCGACTGACCGATTGAACGACCGATTGACCGACCGACCGACCGACCGAACGAAAGATATACTGACCGACCGACCGAGGGACCAAACGACCCTCTGTTACAACTGATAATGTAGTAACCAACGGATAATGTATCACCAACCGATAATGTCACAAAAACTAACCGATACTGTATCACTAACCGATAATGTAACACAAAATGACTGATAGTGTAGGAAATGTTGCTACACTATCAGTCAATTTTTGTTACATTATCGGTTACGACCGATAATGTAACAACAATTGACGGATAGCGTAGTAATTTGTACTACACTACCGGTCAATTGTTGTTACATTATCGGTTAGTGATGCAGTATCGGTTAGTTTGTGTGACATTATCGGTTGGTGATACATTATCTGTCGGTTACTACATTATCAGTTGTAACACCCTCCGAATCATAGAAAATGCCATTGCAGGATTTCACCTTGTGTTGGCGAGTCAGTTGTTGTTAGATCGTCGCGGGGGTATTCAGTAGTGCCAGCTTGTATGAGGTCGTCCGTTGATGGGGACATACGAGCGGCAGTCGTAGGTGTTTCTAGATGGATTAATGGAGAAAGTGAAAAATATGTTATCATTAACGTAGTGTCCTCTTCTATACTTGACCGACCGATTGAACAAAGTATTGACCGACCGACCGACCGAACGATATACTGACCATGTACTGACCGACCGACCGAAAGACCGAACGACCCTCCGAATCATAGAACATTCAAGTAAAGGATTTCACCTTGCGTTGGCGAGTCGGTTGTTGTTTGATCGTCACGGGGGTATTCAGTAGTGCCAGCTTGTGTCTTGTAGTCTGTTGATGGGGACATAAGAGAGGCAGTCGTTGGTGTTTCTAGATGGAGTGATTGAGAAAGTGAAACGGTGTACATCATTCGATAAAATTGTGAATACATATAATGTTACACGAAACATGTCAATGACTTGTTTTGATATGATTTCTGAACAAGCAGAACCTGGTTGAATTGGATGGACTGTGTGGAAACTCAGTAGACCGGGTGAACACCTTAAGTGGATTGGGTTGATGAACTCGTGGATTACGTGGATGGGGTGGATTTACCTATGTAGCGGACTGTGTGGATTTGGTGGTGGATTGGGGACTGGAGCGGGAAAACACCCCTGAAGCAACACAGAATTGGAACCAGGAAACTACTCTGACTTCTGTACTGGTCCAACCTCCCATAAAGCCAGGAGGGCGGAGGTCTAGAACAAACTGCAGCTAAGAAACCGGCTGTTTTTTGTTGTTGTTGTAATTACTAACATATCAGTGTCCTCTTCTATACTCGACCGACCGACCGTCCGAACGAACGAACGAACGACAGACTGACAGACCGACCGGGAGACCGAAGTCACCGAACGACCCTACGAATCATAAATATTCAAATGCAGGATTTCACCTTGAGTTGGCGAGTCAGTTGCTTCATCTTCACGGGGGTATTCAGCAGTGCCAGCTGGTGTCTTGTAGTCCGTTGATGGGGACATACGAGCGGCAGTCGTTGGTGATTCTAGATGGAGTGATTGAGAAAGTGAAAAATATGTGTAATTATTAACGTATCAGTGTCCTCGTCTTTACTCGACTGACCGATTGAACGACCGATTGACCGACCGACTGACCAAACGAAAGATAAAATGACCGACCGACCGACCGACCGAGACACCGAACGACCCTCCGAATCATAGAAAACGCCAATGCAGGATTTCACCTTGAGTTGGCGAGTCAGTTGTTGTTAGATCGTCGCGGGGGTATTCAGTAGTGCCAGCTTGTATGAGGTCGTCCGTTGATGGGGACATACGAGCGACAGTCGTTGGTGTTTGTAGATGGAGTAATGGAGAAAGTCAAAAACATATTTTGTTATTATTAACGTAGTGTCCTCTTCTTTACTTGACCGACCGATTGAACGACGTATTGACTGACCGACCGACCGAACGATATACTGACCATGTACTGACCGACCGACCGAGAGACCGAACGACCCTCCGAATCATAGACAATTCAAGTGAAGGATTTCACCTTGCGTTGGCGAGTCGGTTGTTGTTTGATCGTCACGGGGGTATTCAGTGGTGCCAGCTTGCGTCTTGTAGTCCGTTGATGGGGACATAAGAGCGGCAGTCGTTGTCGATTCTAGATAGAGTGATTGAGAAAGTGAAACGGGATACACCATTCGATAAAATTGTTAATACATATAATGTTACATGAGACATGTCAATGACTTGTTTTGATAAGATTTCTGAACAAACAGACACTGGTTGAATTAAATGGACTAGGTGGAACCCAGTAGAACGGGTGGATCGGGTGGATGACCTTGGGTGGATTGCGTGGATGAACTCGCGGATTACGTGGATGGGGTGGATCAACCTATGTAGCGGACTGTGTGGGTTTAGTGGTGGATTGGGGACTACAGCGGGAAAACACCCCTCGAACAACAAATAATTGGAACCAAGAAACTACTTTGACTTCTGTACTGGTCCAACCTCCCATAAAGCCAGGAGGGCGGAGGTCTAGAACAAACTGCAGCTAAGAAACCGGCTGACTTTTTTTCTGTAATTACTAACACATACATATCAGTGTCCTCTTCTATACTCGACAGACCGATTGACCGACCGATTGACGACCGACCGACCGACCGACCGAACGAACGAACGACAGACTGACAGACCGACCGAAAGACCGAAGTCACCGAACGACCCAACGAATCATAAATATTCAAATGCAGGATTTCACCTTGAGTTGGCGAGTCAGTTGCTTCATCGTCACGGGGATAATTAGTAGTGCCAGCTGGTGTATGGTCGTCCGTTGATTGGGACATAAAAGCGGCAGCCGTTGGTGATTCTAGATGGAGTGATGGAGAAAGTGAAAAATATGTATTTTTAAGGTATCAGTGTCCTCTTCTATACTCGACTGACCGATTAAACTGCAGTCATACTGATTGACCGACCGACTGACCAAACGAAAAATAAAATGACCGACCGACCGAGAGACCGAACAACCCTCCGAATCATAGAAAATGCCAATGCAGCATTTCACCTTGAGTTGGCGAGTCAGTTGTTGTTAGATCGTCGCGGGGGTATTCAGTACTGTCAGCTTGTATGAGGTCGTCCGTTGATGGGGACATACGAGCGGCAGTCGTTGGTGTTTCTAGATGGAGTAATGGAGAAAGTGAAAAATATGTAATGATTTTTGTAGTGTCCTCTTCTTTACTCGACCGACCGATTGAACGACGTATTGACCGACCGACCGAACGATATACTGACCCTGTACTGACCGACCGACCCTCCGAATCATAGAAAACTCAAGTGAAGGATTTCACCTTGCGTTGGCGAGTCGGTTGTTGTTTGATCGTCACGGGGGTATTCGGTAGTGCCAGCTTGTGTCTTGTAGTCCGTTGATGGAGACATAAGAGCGGCAGTCGTTGGTGATTCTAGATGGAGTGATTGAGAAAGTGAAACGGTGTACATCATTCGATAAAACTGTGAATACATATAATGTTACATGAGACATGTCAATGACTTGCTTTCATTAGATTTCTGAACAAACAGACACTGGTTGGATCGAATGGACTGGGTGGAAACTTAGTGGACCGGGTGAACACCTTAAATGGATTGGATGGATGACCTTGGGTGGATTGGGTGGATTACGTGGATGGGGTGGATTTACCTATGTTCACTTATCACATTCCGCGCAATCTAGTTTGCGCACGCGCGCACATTTTTAAAAATAGCGGTCGTACGCGCGCGTACACGCGCCTGTTTATCAGATTATGAAAATTCATTCATCAATTACTCACCATTTATTTTAATTATGAAAATATCAGCTTGCGAAACCAGTTCATGAAAATTTGAATTTTAGTATGATTTTTTTTTTCTGATACTTCATCAAATGTGGGCATTTTTTAAAAATCCAGATTTTTTCAGGGAATTCTCACTTTTTAAATGAAGTGAACGAGGGTGTATACTTCATTGTTTTCCATACGGGAAAGCAGCTACTTTTTTTATCGTCAAAATTCGTCCTTGAATATCGCATTTTGGCGACATTTTGACTCCAAAACGCATGTGACTCGTTTTGAGCATCAAGAAATGCACACTGGGAAGTAGCTGAATGAGTACGAAATGTTACATCTTTCAGGAAATAGAGAATTTTGTGTTTCCAATATATCTCGTGTAAGTCAAGAAACCTCGGATCTGCCATTCTAAACCGATACTAGTGGGAAGACATTTTTCACCGTACGGACCACGCGGTTAGAGTCGCCAGGCATCACAGGCACCGTGCAGTCTGCAACAGCGTACCGGAAGTTGGAGCTCGCGCCCCCACAACACACATCGCTTGTGACGGGTGGTTTTACCGTCGCTTGGAGTCGAGTTTGGAGAGCTATACGGGTAAAATAGGGTTTGGTTCTGTTCGGTAAAATACGAAAACTGATTCAATTGCAAGTTGCCTTTGGAAATAAAGAAGTAGAAGTTAGCATAAATCATGTATTTCCAACGCTAATATTTTTAAAGGGGGGGGGGGCTCAATGAATTATTTTATTGTTGTGGAAATCGTGTCGTTGAAATCGTTGAAAATAATAGTCCTGTGGTATATAAAACAAAAAAAACTAGGCCTACACGATTTTTACACCCAACCTTAAACAGACAAAATATACCAATTAATTCATGTTTTAGACCAAGTCGTTTCCCACTCAAAAAAAAAGAATAACATTGACATTTTTCATTGACGCTAATTGCACAAAGTGTTGAAAGTGCTATACACACTAAGTGTTTCGTTGTGACGAAGTGACGCATCTTCTTTCTAAAATGTATACATTTTATATATGCACAAATTATATATTTGATGTCCTGAACGAGAGAGGGCGCTATTTTGAAGTGCGTGCAGTCAAAGATACTACAAGAGAGGGGAAGATAGGAAAACAGGAAGTACTTGCTCGAAGGTCACGACGGAGAAGGGCGCCTCTCACGGCAGGTAGGTAAATACTAGATTTCTCCATGCACTCAACATAAAAACCTAGTTAAGCAGAGCCGCTAAACTACAGCGCAAATTACAGTCCATTGGCAGAATGATAATCTAAGGCCATGGCAGACCGTGTTTATTACCGTTATCACCCCACTCGTGGGGCAAGCGATTTTTAGACTAAGGGGCCATCTAAAATGTAAAATGTTTTAAATTTGGATTTTTGTTTCCAAATTGTGGGTGGGTGGGTCAAGGTAAATAATAGAAAATCCAAAATCACTTTTCATTAAAAAAAGCAAAAACTAAACAAGATCTTTTGACTTGCCTGTACTTTGCGCGATCGTTCCGATTCGCGTTTCTTTTCCAACGTCGTCCTCATTTACAGACAATGACTTATATTATGGTAGCGCCCGCTAGTGCTGCATGCATATGGTATACTAGCGCATAATGAACAAGTATGACAGGGCTGCCAACTCTCACGCATTGAGCTTGAAACTCACGCATTTCAGGTTAATCTCACGCCCATACGGGATTTCTCACGCTAAAAAAATAAATAAATACAACTCCAAAATGAAGTTTATATCATGATCTTTTTGCTCAAAAATATTGGTTAAAGTAGTCAGAAATTGCCTCAGATGCGCGCACCGCAGAGCGTCTAGAATCCATTTTTTCGGGGCTCTTAAGCGGGCCCCGTACCCACGCCAAATTCTCACCAGGCTCAGCTCTTACTCAAAGTTGGCAGGCCTGAGTTCGAATGCGGCATTTCCACGACGATAAAAGTGGCCGCCATCATGGATGTATGTGAAATACCGGCAGATCCTCCCAGTTTGGACAGAGCAAAAGCTGATCATGATGCACACCCATTTTTTTTTTTTAGCACCGGGCTGCGACACACAGCTGATGAAGCACAATTTCTCAGGCCACCGATGCAACAGGGGAGCAGCTTCATCTAGCCGTCACTGAACTGGGCACACAGTGTGCATGGGCATGCATGTGTATGGACACACATGTACATGTATGTACAATTATATTTGTATGCAAGTGCATGTATTTGATCTTTATTGACAAATCATTTTTTGTTTACGAAAATAGGGCTGGGTGGTTGGGTCAAACCAATTGGGAAAAAAATACAAATTTAAAAACATTGAACATTTTGAATGGACCCTAAGAACGCGCAAAAATCCAACCCCGACTGTGCATGCAGGTAGATTATTGGGTGATATATGAACACTGTCTTGAATTGCGTCTTGATGAACTATGGAAACAGCGCTATCTGATCGAACGGTTTAAATTTGTTAAGGAGAATGGACGAAGAACTGTAGATTCGTGCTAAGAATGGACGAGTTGCAGCCGAGTCTATTCTTGAACTAATTTACAGTTCCGTGTCTATTCTCCAACTTAAACTATGAAAACTAAAATTAAATGGGTTATACTAGATGTCAACATAAAGTTTAACAGAGGGATATACACTGAATTATTTTTTGATAATGCGAATTTAAAGACAAACGATAAAATAATATAAATACTAACTAAAAATGTTACAAGAATTCAAAAAAAGACAAATATATAACAAATTATATTGTAATTTACGTAAAACGTTATAATCGCTACTGTACATTACATTACAGGAAAAAAGAAAGAATGTTGTATCCAGAAGCCACTTCAGCGGTTGTGTACAAAGCCTATGAAGAGTGATGATTTTTTAGAAGTATTTTCTAACAAAATTGGAGATGTTTCTTACTCTCAGTCCCAGATTCATGTCTTTTCGTCATTTTTGCAATGACTGACCTTAATATTGAGATGATATATTCAGAAAAAAAGTGGCGTCAGGTTGCAACATTCTTTCCTTAAACAAAACATCAGAGCGTGTCGAATAAAACAAGTACACAAAGAACAGGTTGTGGAACAAAAAATTAAAGAATTAACAAATTTTAAAAGGAACGTCAAATTAGTAGGCTAGTTATTAAACTCAGGTACACGTCAAATTATTTCGAATCAAAAAACGTCAACAATGCGCACATTGACATTTCCGTTTCATTTCATTTTTAAAGTGGACTGTTACTTTCAAAAATCTTAGCACTGTTTATATACAGGGAATTGTATGCAGATAGGCTATTCACAACAAAAACTGTAGATTCTTAAAATAATATGTGGAACGATGCATAGGACAGTAGGATGCATTCGTCCTGTCACAATACAGCTAGTGTGCGAGTACACATGCATGCGCACTGGGGTGAGTTATGCTAAGAGTTTCTAATTTCTACGACCAACAAGCACATAAATATAATAAATTTTACTTGGATGGTTTTGTAGGTAATGTGGAAGAATATTGTGCAATTGGTATTACACCTGGATAACACGACATGACAAGGGAAATGACGGTGCACGGAGCTATTAATATTGCGATCATCATGGGACGACCACCAGTCTCCGTAAGACACATGGATTATTAGTTCTCTTGGATCAATAGGATTTACAACATTCCCCATGGTTGAAACAATCATCGGGCTATATATCCTGCAAGTACGCTGTTCACCGGTGAGTGTTTGTTTACCACAACTTAGAATACATAAAATCATTTGTCAGCGATAAAACTCGACTAGAACCAACTCTTTCATGTATGTACACGTACACCAACTTGTCCGCGCGATTGCACAATGGACTACCGGGGTGAGTCATTCGCAACAAATCTTACGGGTTGCTCCATTCTGAACGATGTCCGCCGTGATCGATAATATTTTACTAAAAGAATAATTCTTCAATTAGACAATCATAATCGTTCAAAACATTTCAATAAACGTACAAGTCAGTTTTATCATACTATTACATAAACATTGTCGATTGTTATCGCTGTTTTTTAAATTCGCTTACTCAAATGAACACCACTACAACACAAATCGATCAGTCCACTTGGCTCCTCAATCTTGCCCCACGATTTATGCTAATCGGGCCAAATGCAGCGTTCTGATTGGCCGAGAGGCCAAATGATGACGTCATACCGATTATACACACGACATGCACTGCTCCGAGCTCAATGGTTCATATACTCAGTGCGAAAGTGAGTGCGCAAGCTAATTTGTGACTTCAAGGCAAGTATTTACGGCTGAAAATGAACATTATTATTTCGACTTGGGCAATATTCGCAGCCAATGTTTCGTGACGTCATTCTTCGCTTCGCAATCGCGTGAAGTATGAACTGGCCTTAACATGGTGGTTATATGACGCAGCGTTTCGAACCCAGAAACATTAAGTCATTGTAAAAACATATATATGTACATTGTGCTTGTTTTGTTTATTGCTCAAATGAAACAAAATTATCCCCAAATAGAATTTCGAATAAATTTGCAAAACATCGGCAAAGAGTCCTGGTGTAAAAGTCGTAGTGCTACTGCTACACCATCAGGTCAACCAGACTAGCAACAATGCAATAAATCGGCACTGAATATGAAAACTACAACGGTGGTCAAAAAGAGTATCCCAAAATAGAAATACTACCACACCCCTACAAGATTGAGTTTGCAATGGCTCTACATCTGACAATAATAATGAATACAAAATTTCACGCTTGAAAAAAAAAAAAAACCTCACACTTGTATTCACATTATCCCCAAGACTAAATTCAACTGTCCGGTTTTGGAGTGTTTGTTGTCAAAGAACGTGGAACTCAAAAATATTTATTAGAAAACTGGTTCCACTTAACGTGCATGTTATAATTAAGGAATCAAAACATTATGGAGCTATACTCACGCTTGAAAAAAAAAAAAACATAGCATACAATCCGCAGTTCCGAAAGTAAACTTGAATCTACGGCCCGAATTCAAACGTCGAATTTCTGCCATGTCTAATTCAAATAATGGTCCGACATTTGAATTTGACACGGCAGAAAGTCGACGTTTGAAGCAACTGCCGCCTTTCTGCCGAAAGTTCGAGAGTCTTGCCACTCTGGACGTCAAAAAAAGCGGCACGTGCAAACTTCTGCCGTGTGTAATTCAATTGGCACCTTCCACATCCGAATCACAGTGGTACCGTTTTAAAATGCGAATGTGGCTGCCGGATGTTTACGTTTCGGCGTTAGAAAAAAAAAATGGCAGCGCCCATTGAGTTCAAATGTTGCCCAGGAAATCCAAAACGCCTTCTTGAATCATTTCTCCGAAATCGTATTAAGCATCATACAAGCCGACCGGTATTCTTGACTAAACTCCGGCAGGGTCGGGAAGTTGTGACATTTTCGCGAGAAAGACGATCAGCGCGGCAGTACTATTGAACAAACAAACGATGACAAATCTCCTTGTTAAAATCACTTCCAATGAAATTGAATGTGCAGGAGAGAGCGCCTCTTTCTTGCATATAGATGGTGTCGCAGTAGCATGGTGCAGGCCAGAAAATAGGCCAAAAATTGTCTATGCTGGCCAAATCACAACATCTATGCCTCAATTGCTTTGCTATTAGAACATGTTGTGGGCCACAAACTTGAGGGTTTAGGGAAAAAAAGAAAATGGGTTTCGGATGAAATTGTATACATTATTGTAATGGAGCGCAGAAATCATTTTTTTTTCAAACTAGCGATGGGCCACTGGACTTGAGGGGTGGTCATCTTTGGATGAAATTCTCTTTAAAAAAAACCATAGAATTTGCCCCACAAAATTAAACAGGAAATGAAAGATGATGACATAAGCTTTAATTCGATGGGTGTCTCAAATACCTTGGAGAGTTGTGAGTATTTAAAAAAAAAATTTGGAAGTGCGCGTAAGTACCACTGAGGTCTATGGGAGTCTATTTTTGGCCTGCACCCAATATGTCACGTGCAGCCTTGGTCTGCCATCTTGAACACCGAATTACGTTCAAGAGAAAATCGACATTTGAAGCAACTGCCGACATTCGGTCGCTTTTTTTCGACTGCAGTGAATTAAATTAGACACGGCAGAAGTTCGACGTTTGAAGCCGACCTTCAACGAAAACAAAAATATGAAACCCAGCAACAATCAATTCAACAAGACTTTCGCTTACCTGCGTTTACTGAACACCAAACGATGGCAACCAGAACCGCACAAAGTAACGCAGGGAAAAGTGTTTCCGTTTTCCTGGCACTCAGATCCATGATTGATTGTGAACAAGTTCAGAGAGGCACTAAAGTAGAACTCTCGATTCTGTGCTATAGTTACTACTTGGTGTTCTGTCTAAATATTTGTCAACCGTTTACGATCGATCTGAAGTTTCTAGCTCATATTTCAACAGGTACCATAATCGAAATGCACTTACAGTGTACACTGTTGTGTACGCGACCCTGGCTGCATTGCGTACTATGAGCCAGCCACGTATATTATACCGAATACTAAAATGGAAGATTTGTATGAGATCACTGATCGTTGACCGTCGTTGTACTTAATGGTCAAAACCCACAAAAAAAATAAACGATAAGCTATACAGAAAAGCCAAGGACACGTGTCACTGGTACATTTATTTGCCTTTTACAAAAACCTGTGACACAGAGGAACATCAAATACGCGAAAAATGCTCTGTAAATTAGTCTGGTCATTTACTGGTACTGCTTGCATGAGTAAAAACACAGAAACAATGAAACAATTAAGAAGCCAAAACATCGTTATCTCTATGAATATTAATTGGTTGAGCTCCATTTATTATTTTCATACACCATATCACGCAAAACGTTTCCGTGGAGGAACAGGACAGGAAAATTATGAGATAAATGAATCACAAAGTCACATCCTTCAACATATGGTAATAATCAGTTATAAGGTGTGTCGAAATTTGCTTACACCAAAGTAGCCTCACAATTACGTCACTGGGTATACAGGGTGAGTAAAAAACATACCCTACCATTTCGTATCTTGCCATCCGTATACTTTTACATCAGAAGTTGTACCTCTAGAGTTTAAACATTGTTTGCCCACTTTAATACATGTCGGGTCTCAGACAGTCTCAGGTCTCTAGTGCAATTTATAGCTTATAAACAAGTCAAATTAATGTGCTAAATTTCGTTGGTTTTTTTTCTGAGCCAGGTGATAGCAAAAGATGGTAAAAGTTGTATTTAGCATGCCATGTAAGTTCAAACCGATAGGTTTCTCTTATTTACTTCTTACAATTGATACTTGATATGGTATTGTCATGGTAATGTGCAGGCTATTAATTAGCCGCCTAATTCTTAATTCAGAATATAATAAAGCCGCAAGCGTTAAAAACAAAAACAAATAACGAGTATTTACCCCCTTTGTTTCCTACGATTGATTCAAATGATTTATTTATCCCTGAATATCAAAATTCATATTTCCTCCAAATATGTGATTAAACTATCTGCACAGTTTATATAAATCACTGCTCTAAAGCAAAAAGGCAAAATAAAGTCATATATGGCCTGGGCCAATAGGAAACCAGAGGGCTCAGTTAGGCCTATATAGTGCAGCAGATTGGTGATGAGATAGTTCATTTGATGATAAAAGCATGGATTTTAGCACACAGTCAGAGTATTTCATGGGAAAGATTGTGGCTATAGGGCCATCGCAGATTTGTCCTTTGAAAAAAATGTGTGTAGAATTACATGCAATGGCAGCCATTTTGAAAATTTTGAAAAGTGCTGGTTATTACTTATATTTTTCTTAAAATACAAATATATGCAATGGCCCTATAGCCCAATACCTTTCCATGACATACTCTGACTGTGTGCCAAATTCCATGCTTTTGTCATAAAATGAACAATTTCATCATATTGTGCACCGATTGCCTATATACTGTGAAAAAAAATGCAACACTCCATGCAAATGTCATGAAACCGTAATATTCTGTTGACAAACGTCCAGGCACAAAATATCAACCAAAGGCCTCTCCAGTGCAAGCATTGACGGTGGACCAATTGGAAACAAGGTAAGACTGGGGTTTCCATTCATAATATGAACTGTCCCAACGTCTAGGTCTTTGTTTCCCCTAAAGATCAAGGCTCATCATCTTTAACATATTAATTTCCAATGGTTCATAACCAGGACCTTGTTTTTAATAAATAACAAGTAAGAAAAAGACCCAATTTCTATTTTCTTTAAAACAACTTTCCCTGGCATGTGTTATCAACGCAGTGTGGCTACAAACGGATGGAGTCCTAGTATTTCAACCATGGGGATTTGGAAAAGACGTCATGGCTGTACTGTCATGTAAGTCCCTTAAGCACCAATAGCCCCTGAAAAACGAAACTGAATTACACTCTCTGCATTCTTGCAGTTCAATTCAATATCACTTTTTACAATATTTGCCACGTCGTGTTAGTTTCATTGAACGTGTTCTTTTTCCAGATTGAATTCAAAATTCCAGGGTTGACTGGACAAGTTCGGGTTCCATTGTGACAAAACTCCAATAACTTTTCTATGACTCACCTGGCGATTTCATCCTTTGCGTAGTTCATATTCAATACCGTGGCCTGTTGAACGGGTCAAATATAGTTCACACCAGTACCAGCATTGTTGCAGTACTGGTCTACATGGAGTCGTGCGGGTAACGATATATAGCGTGAAAATCCACGATGGCCGCTTTCACAGAAACATTGCCTGGGTTAATTTTACCAAAGAAAGGGTGAAAACTGGAACTACCCAAATTTGGGTTGTTCTATAACCAATTGTTTGGGTTACAATTTATGTTAGATTTGGTCTCGAATGACCACAGGTTTTGGTTGAATTTAGCAGAAATTAAATGCCTTAGCATAACATTCCAAAGGCACACAGGCGGTTTCGGGCAAGAATACATTACACGTTTTAAATTATGCACTTGCCAGCGTTTTAAACAAAAACAACAATACTACGATATGCATAAAGCGCTGGAGATGCCTTGTTAACATCATGTACACATCGCCTAAACCTGGGCAAACTAATGAACGGATTGGTGAATTTCTTCCGTGTTGTGTATGGGTACAAGGCTCTGTCGGGCCAAAATAGACGGGAACAAAAGAACCTCAATTGAATTTGAAATTGTCCGCACATAAAGTTAGCAAAGTGCTACTTGTGGCTACTGGAAAGTGCTGGCGTTTTTAATTTCTGGGGCAACATACAGATGTCACGGTCGCTAAAGTGTTCCCTGCTCCTAAATCCGCCTTGCCGCAGCCTTGCCAGAGTCACCTCTAGTTTTGCTCGAATTCTGGACTGATTAAAATTTTACAGCCAGTCCCGATCAATGGCAAACAATGCCAGGCCTAAGTGGTGATAGAGGGTCTTACCAACATTGTTCTAGCCTTGCTCCCAGATTGGACTGATTCAAATTTTTCAGCCACTCCCGATCTCTGGCAAGCGATGTCAGGCCACCGTGGCGGTAAAGGGCGTTAATTCAATATTATGAATGCAATTTAGTCCAAGCAACTTTGCCACTCGGACCCGAGAAAAATCCGGACATATTGCATAGCGAAGGGTTTCTAGATAGGAACGACAACCAGTTACGAAAGTCCCAATCAGTTGTCTCTCCAGATTCACAACCGTCATGCCTTCACGACCAGGCGTAAATACAATAAGCATCTCGCCATTGAATGCGCAGTGAGTTGCTGTAGAGCCATCGTCGAGCTCTGTATCAATAACTGCATCAAACATCTTGACGCACTTCCCTGATTTCAGATTCCAGATCTTTACGAAGGCATCTCTGAGATGACACACCAGAATAGATCGCATGCAAGCGAGAACAATTGCGTACATCCCAAACCCGAACTTTATTGTCAGCGTACACCCCTGCTGTGATCCCGTCCTTGTAGTCCAGGTGATTCAGATTCGAGCCTCCCTTCAGGATACAACGAGAGGCTCCGTCTGCAGCATTCCAGACCAAAATCTCGTTTTCTGCAGGGTATTGAAAATCTTCTCTTGGTATTGCAGCACTAGCGATTGTCTTACCATTAAAGAAGAGATGAGAAACAGCCAGACGATGTCCCCACATGACTCGCAGCTGATCTCTTGGCGGAGTAGGCACGAATCTTACCGTCACTGCATCCTGCAGCAATGATGCCATCCTTCATTTTCAAAGCATGTCTCTTTCGACTGATATTTCATACTTTGATGAGATGTTGGCGAGACCCATGGGAGACATTCCAGATGTAAAGTATTATTACCAGTGCAAAGTGCTAGATAGTCCCCTTCTGTAGACAAACCGGTCTTCTGCACGACGCTTGACTACTAATTGGGGTTATGTTTGTCTGTTGCAAAATGAAAAGAAACACTGTAAGGAAACTTAGAAAAAAAAATCGGTTGAAAGAGTTTTCTTGCACGAAAACAAAAGAATTTCCACACTAGGTATGTAACGTAAACATTATTAGTTGTGTGTGCGTGTACAAACACTGCCTTGTGGGGTACCAAAACAATGGGAGGTACCCCACAAGGAATGCCCACCGACATGCGATGTACCGTTTTGGTTCCCAACAAGTTTTTCACGAAATTGATATATGGATATTACTCAAAAACTAGAAATTTCCAAGATGGGTTGATTTGACGCAATTGTAAGAGTTTTAGAAAAGGGATATTAAGTCCGAAATTCAGCCCAGGACATTAACTCTGGTTAAAATAAAAGCATTTTGACATTAGTGTGCGACGTTGCGAAATGTTAGTACACGAGAACAAAGGAAGTACCCCACTTCTATGCCTATGTAAGCATGTGTGTGTGGGTGTGGGGGGGGGGGGTCCGCTGCGCTCATCTCAACCGCATTGCTGCATAATACAGAATAGCACCGCATAGGCTGGTTTCGAGTGTACGGGCGGACATCAGGTTGCAAACCGGATGTATTATAGGCCTAGCAATACTGATACTTAACTCTTCGTCGATTCATCGATAAAGAGTCCGAAAAGTAATCACTGCGGTCATGAAATCCATTAATTAGCCACGGTATTTTGAGGTTCACCGGGGTTACCCGAATAAACAAAAAAACATGTAAAACGTCCTGCCTTTTTGAAAAAAAGGAAGTTGGACCCCCTTTTGTTTGTTAATGGCCATTGCTTGGACTCAGGAAATGACATTCCAGCTTAATATGGGCTAGATGCCACAGACAAAGAGGCCACAATGATGTCACTGTTTAAGATTTATCATTTTTCGTTTAAAAAAAAAAGGAAAAAAAAAAGAGGCGGCCTCCAAAAAGGAAGCGGGCGGGGACGCTCGCGATGTTTTTTTTTATTTGGCCTTAAAGATTTTAATTATACAATGTAGTGACAATGACTGAGGGCAAAGGTATTTCAGATAAGATGGTGAATACATCGACACCATGGGATCGAGGTTGATGATTACAAACAGGACGCCGGGATACGCTGATGAGCTTCACAGAATCTTGTGAAGGAAGTGGCCCATGACCTTTGTATAAAGCATCTGGGTCAGCTGTTTAAGACCGCAGTTAGCCCATGCGTGCAAATGCTTTCCGAAAACTTTCCCATAGAAATGCGCACATTCCATACCGGATGTGAGGCTGTTTCATTGCGGACCATGTGGACAAAATTTTGAGGGTCGCACAATGCAATCCGACCGTTCATGATTCAAAACGGAGCCTGAGCAAGTGACGGGAATTGTAAATATACAACTCCGATAAGTTTTACAGAATTTTCTACATTATTACGCTTTTTTTCAACGGGAAACAAATCTCTAAACTGGAATTAAAGAGTATAATAAATCAGTCTTAACAGCCGTTTCAAACCTTGCAGAGTCATGACCGTGTTGACGCGCAGGTCACAGGTCACGCAAAATCCAACCAATCAGAGCGCAAATTCATCAGAGTATCCAAGCGTCCTATTTGCAGGGCGGGGGTACGAGCGAACCTTTGCCTAGTTTGGTTCCCAGACCAAAAGGTTTTGACTATTCCTGATGAATCTTAGGTGAGGTAGCCTCCGGGAATATATTGTATTACAATTTACGTCACGTGACAAAAAACGGGAGGAATTTCTTCTTTTCCTAAAAATGTCCCAAGTTTTTTTTTTTCCGAATTCATTTCGTAGACAATTGGACAGCGCCCGAGTATTTCCAAGTATAGTGTAGTTTAGTTAACTGCTAATTGCTTATTAAAAAATTTAAAATGAGTTATTAATTAATATTCATTTCTTTCACTAAGAAAACCTGAAATTCAACGACGGATCATCTGGGCGAACTTTTTGCTGCGTCACGTACTATTTTGAATTTGCGACCTTTACAGAGATTTTCCAAAACTCGGTCTTCATTCGGCTGCGCCTGCTAACAGTGCTATTTGGGTGCCTAAATTTTAAGATTCCAGATCAACATAAGTAAATGTTATCTTACAGAAATATGAAACTGTATAAACATAACTGTTTACGAAGCAAGTGGTTTATTAAAAACAAAATTGCTAGTTTATGACGTTTACATGCAAACAAACAAACAAACAAACAAACAAACAAACAAACAGTCAGCAGCCACCAATGTGGCATGAAGAGACCAGGTACAATTTATAAATACCTAAGTATACCCATTCTTATTGGTTTGGAGCCCGTCACGTGGCCGGTCGTAAAAGGTTCATAGAACAACCGGCTTGCGTCTACTTTGCCAGTGTAATATGGAATTTGACTCCTTTCAAATCCGGTCCCTTTCACTCTTGTATTGGTTGACCGGCTCGGGTCCTTATCAGCGTCCGGACTCCTAACATTGTGTTTAAAACCGGCCAAACACATTTATTCCCTTATGAATACAATCTGTTTGTATTTACACAAACTGTTGAGAAGATAAAACATCATTTTTGAAACCATTTAACAATTTAATACGCGTAATCTTTTTCATGTTTTTTTTTACTACTACCACGAGGAAAGCTTACTGAACCTAAAAAAAATATCACAATCAGGCCCAAACAGAATCGCTTAAAGTGAAAAGCGCCACATGATTTCAAGTCTTATTTCCAAGCGTGTACGACCATAGATTCATAACTGAAGAGGACATGTCTGGGCTGAGACTTATCCCCATAGCGATCCAACGCCCACTGCCACAGGTCTTGCAAATAATCTTCCAGCGCTGCCGATGGAATCAACGATGTTTCTCCAAGATTTGTCTTCATTGACACTGTTAAAAAGAAAGAAGTAAAATCCAGGCATTCTGATTGATTATCTGATAAGCACGATAGTCAATAAAGAGATTAAAAAACACCGGACTTAGTCTTCAAGGTGCAGAATTAATAAGTAAAATATTTTACGGTCCCACTATTTTTCTTTAATTATGGGCAGTGAATTAACCAGTTCTTCTTTATCTTTATCCATACTCAAACTAGTTCATTAAACCATTATGCTATATTAAAAGAAAAAAAACAGCAACATTTGAATTAAACGCCAATTTTCAGAAACACTTTGCAGAGAAAAGGCATGTTTTTTTTGTGATTGAGGGCGCTGAAACTGCACAACTTATGGGATATGGCCTACAAATTAATAAACAAACGAAGTGTCATTTAAAGAGATGTAAGTTTAAAATGATGGCAATCTTTAACAACATGCGTTTTATACTTTAATTCCGTTTGTTTTTAACTCCATAACTGTGTCGTTACAGTGTCTCAATCTTAAAAAAAAACGAGATGGGTCTCGAACCATCTGTCTTGCCTGCTTTCGCGGTTATCTGTAAAGAGTTACCTTTGATCTTGGTGTTTGACCATTGACATCATTATCATTTGTTGCATCTATGACCCAAGTTTGGTTGCAATTGGACTTTAACTTTTGAAATGAGACACATTTTCAATATTCAGGCAATTATACAACTTGACCTCATATGACCCTTTACCTTGTTATGTGATCTTAGACATTAGTATCATTATGAAAGTTGTGAAGTTTTGAAATGGGACCAATTTTACGAAACTTTAACCAAAATACCGCATACATATACATGTATACTACATGTACATACATACACATGCACACACCGACACGCACACTATGTGTTCACCGTCGATCGTGGACGTCCTATTGTCCCTCTTGTGTTTGTACTGAACTTTTTAGGACTCCCATAGGTTTGGTACACGACCCAAATCGCAGACGTATGCTGGGAATCGTGGACGATATTTTTCTCTCTTGTTCTCTGGTATTTTTCGTCCACGGTTTAAAAAACTGAACACGTACCCACCCATCCACACGTTTGTTTAAGGTGTAAATCGAGGATTTGCTTTTGTTCCGCTTCCCTTTTCCTTTTTTGTACTTTTTCTCAACAGCTCTCCGATGATTGGTTTTGCACACGTTTTCCAACTGAGGAGTCCTTGATTCGGTTTCTGACCTCGATTCACTGATGATGTGTGTGTCCTCGATTTACACCATAAACAAACGCACACTTACATACTCACCCACGCAAACACGTGTGTAAATACCAGCAATCGTGGACGCCCCATTGTCCCTAATCCTCTTTCCTTTGTTTGTACTCTTACTTGTTAGCGACAGCTCTCATTGGTTTTGTACATGATTTGAGATCGTGGACGTTCGGTCAATCGTGGACGTATTGTTTGCGCCCAATTCTGTTGTCCTACGTCCACGATTGCCGGTGTTTACACACGCACACACGCAACCCCAAAATGCCTCTAAACCTGTTTTCCAGAAAGGGTAAAACCTTATGTGGACACGGCTTAGTCCACATAAGGTTAACACAACCTGCATTATGTGGACCTCTTTTGTTCACAAGTCCACATAGGGTATGTAACACAAACTCACACGGACAGACAAAGTGATTGCATAGTCTCTTTCTTGAACAAAGTTTAGGCGAGACAAAAATAAGGCCCTTTTGATTGATAAAGTCTGGGCTAAAACGTCCTCGGTTGATATCGTTGATAATGTTATAGCCTTTTCGATTTCGTTCACTTCTCTGGTACTGGTATTAAAAGAAAATTGTTGATTGCACTCTTTTAATCATACGTGTGGTTCGAAAGCAATCCATTTTGTTTGCAAAAGCCTACATTTTAACTGAATTTCAGACAGGACCAGTTCGTGTCTCCGCACTGAACACTTAGCCTCGGCCCAGCCACACGATTTGAAGACTTTCTGCGTTTCTTGAACTGATAGGTTCCA